GTGGCCACGGAGGGAGAGCAAGATCAGGAGGAGGAGGAGCAAAGAGATATGACTCCTTCTCAGGTTCTGACCTTTGGGTGCCCCCGCGCTTGTGTGCGCTGCCAAAGATAAAGACCAGATTGACTGTGTTGGCCCAGGGGAGGATGGAATAATCTGAATATCAGAGGTGTATGCAGCTCAGTGGAGCTACCTTCTCCCCTGGGGATATCTCACTGAGCTGTTTATACCTCCTGTGCTTCAGAGGTCTTTAACTCGTGCAGATATTACAGCGAGTGCAGCACCTCTTCACTGGACAACGGTGATGGAGCTTTATGACAACTTTCTCTGCCTAACACAGTCTTCCCTGGGGACAAGAAGCCCATAAAACATTTATCATCGTAGAAATATTTGAACACGGTGGAACCATAATCTTTTATGTGCAGTCCTCCTCTCTAAACACATGGAGAGCTTGACAAAGACAGAGGATTCTTACAACCCCTGGGCTTAACTGAGAAGCAAAAATAATAGAATGGCGCAAAAACAAAACACAAGCTAATTATCATGGCTCCAAACACATCGCAAGTACACATACATTCACACTCTGACTCCAGGACCACCCGTGAGAGCTGACCTGGCCATGCCCCCTGCTGCTCAGCGCTGGCGTGTGTCCAGAACAAACTGGGCCTCTCCGTAGGGAACAGCGGAGGCCTGAGGCCGTGCTGCTTAGCAGGCGCCGAGGGGGCGGCAGGCTGCCAGTGGTCAGTCCCTGCCGGAGCTTCTGGGAATGGTGTCACACTCGCACTAACCCCAGTCCTCACACCGGCCAGCTCCCGGGTCCGGGGGCCGGGTTGCGAGGTCGGGGAAGAGCAGCACTCCTACGGGTGAGCAGATGGACTCGCTGTCATGGATGAGCTCATTCTGGCAAACATCCAAACAAGAGGCGAGCCAGACCCCCGTGTTGTTTGAGCTCTTCTCTCCATGAAGTCACTCCCCGAGCACAGATCAGCAGCACACGCTCTCTGCACACAAACAACATCCTGAAGTTCAACCGAGGCCAGAGTGGTGACAGGAAGAGGGGGAACGTCTTAGCTGAGGCTGAAACTAACTGCAAAGAAGTCCAAAGAAGTAGAAGATCAGGATGTCATCTGTGCAAGAGATGGATTAGGAGGAGTAAAGAAACATGATAAAAAGAAACTGCACTGAGTGCAAAGAGGCATGAAAGAAGCAGTCCGTCTTCAAGGCTAAATTTAATGTTATCATATTCACAACCAGGCTTCTGTGAGAAAAATAACAAGAACTCTTATCTGACGGATAGACCTTGATGACACCAAGTGATGCTAAGTATGCGCCCTTCAGCTTCTCTCATCAGACGCAGGACAGAGGACGACATTTCCCAGGCGACCGTGAGGAATCTCTCATGATATCACTTTAACCCAAACAGACCAGCCGGCCGACAACCTCCTCTGCTGCTGCTCGAAGTACGCAGCACGAAGACATCCGCTCCTCGCTGTTTGCAGGTCAGACAGATGTACGTGCGCAGCACACACCAGTGCATTCTGGGCGTATATGAACAATACTAAATAGTGGCTGAGAAATCCGGGGAGGCGCTGGAGCTGATACTGGCTGTCAGACCGCTCCGGGATTACAGCGATAAGGAAGGCTAATTGGAGGCCGCCTGCTCTCTAACAAGGCCAGTCAGTCCTCAGACAACACGAGCCAAGGACGTTGTTTAATAGGTCTAAATCTAATTTTCTTTTGCAGAGTAGTCTGCTGTGATAAGGTGGTCAGAGCATAAACCAACTGCCCATTGACAAAAAACAACCATGAGGCGGTCAGCGCTAGAATTATGACCATTCCAGTCAATTAGCCAAATTATCTGGACGAATCACGTGTGTGCTGTTGATATAAAAACACACTGCCCATTAACCTGTGGTCTATAAAAAAGGACACAGGCTCAGCAATTAACCCACATTGCCAAACTTACCCGGCTGCCTCCATTTCCAAATCACTATAATTCCAAACAACGTGGTAATTTCCTCGGCAGAGAGCGCATGCCTGGTGTGCTGTTGATTATGGCTTTTGGAAACTTATAAAGACTGTGGTTTCCTGGAGGGAGACCGCATCAGCTGTCATATTCATAATTATAGCATTTCTGCTATTTCTCTCAATCATATAATTATCCTATCTCTGCTATTTCTATCAGTCATGTAATTATCATATTCAGTCGTTTCTGCGTAAACTTTTTGTCTGAAATTTCCAGGTTTTCTTTACGGCTGCAGATCTACGATCTGTATGGAACTTTTGAGGGAGTGCATGCTGCTCTTCTCAACCGCTTTGTCGATATCTGTGGGTGACTAATTCACTACACACTTACAAACCGGTGACCACAGAGAAAGACACGTCTGCCACCGTCTCCACATAAACTTAACTAGCAGGTCTGGAGCGGCTTCCATTGCACAAACACACTATTTTCTGTCACACAGTAGCTTTCCTCTTCAAATTACATCCAAGAAACAAAGCACTAAAACTCAAAAGTACGACTGTTTACAATAATAAATTGAAGCTGAAATTGGGGGGGGCGGCTGTTACAGCTGCTCCACAGGACCTCCACTCCATAAATTTAGGGCAATTAAGCCACAAGCTCCACTAATGAAGCAGACTAACAAGCTGGAGGCGGGTTTCTGCTCCAGCACCAGGTGTCGAGGCCTCACACAGGAAGTCCCAGCAGCAGTAACACCTGGGAATAATAAACTCACTCCGTAGACAATAGCTCCATCTGAGGGCTGGGTCACACTAAAAAATATGGTAAAAGCTCCAGTGTATGGAGCAAAAGGAAACTTAACGTATACATTAATATTTTCCAGTTATATAAATCCACCAAATTACCACCAAGGATTTCTAGACGATCCACAACCTTTAAAATTAAGTGCACATTTCTTCTACTCTCATATGTGAATCAGATTATTGCAAGAAATGTTGCGTGCACTTGGATTGGCCCCTGGCTCCTGTTAACCCAGGAATGCACACAACGTATAGAGAAAAAAAAAATTATGTATAAGATGAAAGAAGGTTAACCTGAGGGCATGTGTAGTACAACATTTGCCTCTGTGTCCACCACAGTTGAATCATTGACTGTGGAAGGAGGGGGAAGTGATTTTGATTACACATACAGAACACGCTTCTGTGATGTCGATACCAATCAGCGGATCATGAGGGAAAATTAGAAACACGCCGGTTTCTCCAAGTAATAACAGTAACAAGTATTCTTACAGAGCCTGGGATCGGTGATGGTGGAGGGAAAAAAACACACAAGCACTTGTATTGTCGTCCTTCAGGCCCAGTGACGTGATGCACACAAACAGGGATGAACCACAAAACAAAGCAATGATCTCAGAAAGTTCTCTAACCTGCAGTGTGCTACGCTGTAAAACAACAATTACAATATGATTAACAATTATTATTAACATTTCAATTTCAGAAGGATGATTGGGTACAGAGTCATAAAACAATATTCACGCAGAATTAAAACCTGACTAGTTCTATAGACTGTCTCAAAACATTATTACCCTCTTTACTCAGTCATCGTTACCTCAGGCAAAATGCTATGGCTACTACTGAATCTCATAATAACCAGAACAGTGGAAAATTTAAGGAGGTCTTTCCTAATATCACACCAAACTGAGTCAATGAGCGAGCAGCCACCCCGTCCCCTCCTTCCCTTCTCCACTCTGCTAAAAGGCCACCATTGTATGTGAAGAATTGCCATGGCTACTGCCGGCGAACTGTAAGCCTTTTAGAATTATTAGCATTCCTCTCTACCCTGAGCACTGTAGCAAAGCTGCTCGCTTTACCATCAATCCGCCTTGAGAGAAACACACCATTTCTTTCATTAGCGACTACAGGAATTTCCATCTGGCTGGGAATTAATTAAAGTCGAATTATGGGGCTGCGGCAATATTGGGCTGCCCAGACAAATTCAACAACACCCATGGAGGGTGAGGGTGAATGTGGCCTTGTTAGTGAGACTTGTGAGAGGCCAACGAAGACACTTGTCGGAGACACTAACTCAGCAGTTATTAGGCGAGACAGTGACAGGTCGATCAACAATACGATCATTGATATATCCATTTTCCTGACCACCATCTATCCAGGTAGTAGCAGGTCACAACAAATAGTGGAGACTCACTTTATGGGTTCATGATTAAAGGTTAATGATTATCAACATTTTAAGAATATCCAGCAAGAGAAAGTCATGGTACTGACGACCTGATGTTAACAAATGGTGTGGCAGCACACACATATAAAAAGCTCATAAAAATAACTTGTTTTATGAGGGTCTGAATACACTCAGGGTTCAATGGGAAAGGATAAAGTTAAAATCAGTCTACGAAGTTTCAGCAATGTGTGATAAAAAAATCGGGATAAAAAGCAACAGGCAAACCTTTGTCAGTGTGAGACAAGGAAGACGAGTGAAACAAAGTGGTCAATATCAGATTCTAGAAAACCTGAACAACAGGCCACCAGGGAGGCTCCACTATCAGGCCGGGGACTCCGCCAGCTCCTGACACCTCCACTGAGGCAGAGAAAGTAGGTCTGCACGGTACCCAAGGGGAAAGCAGGGCCCCGGTGAATTTCCACAGTTTGTGCCAAAATGGCTAAAAGGCAACCATTTCCTTTCAGTGCAAATCCAGTTTCAATTTCAACCTATCTGTGTTGTTCCGGGTACAAGTTACCAGTAAACAGCTCTGGCGAAACCATTTCCAAATGGGGGGCATGTAAGGAAAAGGTTTCAGCACAGGAAACTACAATGAAATACAGATGTGCTTAGGATTACTTTGAGTTTGGAAGCTGCAATAACAACACTGGAAAAAGCCACAAACCTTAATTATATCTTAACAAAATCCTCAAATATGATCAGGGAAAACACCACAGGACCAAAACACTGTTAATAAAGTGATTGACTGAAAACTTTCTGTTATGCAAGAACTCTCTGGTAATAATAACAAAAGAGGAGAAACAACTTATGTTTTCATCCGTTTAATGTCATGTTGTGTTATTTTAAGGAGGGCTGCTTTCTCAGTATGATTGCAATTTTCGACAGTTCTTCGTCCACCGACAGTTTTCTGTTTTCACAGGCATGGGAGATCAGGGGCCCTGGACCGGGCTCTGCTGATGAAAGAAAGAGGTTAGGGTTAAACTCCGAGTCCAACTAGGTGATGAAAACAAATCCTATCAAGCACTCAGATCAAACTGATGTCAGTCAAAAGGTTACCTTGGTAACCACCTGTGGCCTGGGGACCCCCAACCAGTCACAAAGCTGATTCCTGTGAGTCCGCACTGTGGCGAGGTCACTTTCCCTGGAATGGACACGCAGAGCAAGAACATGAAACACAATGCACTGAATTCATTTTAATATATTAAATATACAAAATAATCCAGTTTGAACAACTAACCAATTAGTATCACTCAGCAGGGTCATGACATCATCCAGCACCTCTGGATCGATGACATCATCATAGGTCAGCACCATCTCATACATTTGGCTTGCTGTCTTCTTTCTTATCTAAAGATGTAAGAAAGAACCTGTTTATTATTTTTCTTTGCTGCTGTTACATGAAGAAATGTAAAAACCCAAATGGTCACGACAACAAAAGCAGCTACACATTACAATATTATTACAGGGCAGATTTAGAAGGCTTAAGACAATGCTATTTGGAGAGCTTGGGATTTGTGTAGAGAACCATAGTAAAACAAACTTTATCAACTTTACCATGTGTTAAATGTACAATATGTAACTTGAATATTAAACTAGTTTAATGTTGCTGTGAAGCAGAGTGGGATCATAGAGTTGATGTCTTCTAACTTTGTCTCTTGTAAATTGTCCTTACAGCAGAGACGGGCAAAGCCTCAGGTAAAGTGGATGTGATGCAATTAAAGGTGACTAAAATCAAATGTCTCGTTACCTCAATTCAATTTAGGGATTTGTCTGAATTTGAACATTGTTGGAAACATGTTAGGTTAATACACAAGTTAACAAAATGTATAACATAGTTCAAGTGGTTTTTAGACATTTTAATGAAAAATGATATCTGCACACTCTTGTCTTGTGAACTTACCACAGGGAAGGAATGGCAGAGCATCATCAGCAGCTGGGACAAAACTTTCTTCCTCACTTCCCCCTGGAACTGGATCAGCCCACAGAAGCTGGGAAACACCAGTCAACCATGGAATGTCTCATTCATTCATCTGGTTTTAGTGATCTATATAATGTTTGCATTTATCAATGAGATGGAGACTTACACAGCCACGCAGGCGGACAGCTTCGAAATATCCTTGGACTTCTTAAACTCTTTGCAGAGAGCCAAGGTTTCCACACAGAAACGATGACTTAAAAAAGAAAAACAGACAAACTTCAGTTCTCATATCAACCATGTTAAAAATAACAAAAACAAAGCTTTCGCAGCACTTACTTCTCTTGTGTTGTGAAGATTTCAAAGCAGTTGTTAGAGAGCATCTGATTGAGCATCTTAAGAGAAGAAATAGTCACCCTGAAAAAAGGAAAATAAAACTGCCACTTACTTATGTCGCAGAGATTTATAGAAATGACATGGAAGATTGTACATTTGAACCATAGAGAAAAATAAATAAAACAATCTTCCATTGTCTGTGCATGTGTGTGTGTGTGAGAGAGAGTACCTGCAATTGTGGAGATTGTCTCTTAAGATAGTCAGCAAAGTATCTCCAAACTGTGTCAGAGCAGCATCATTGTCCTGGATCCCTTTCATATAACTGAACAAGGACTTGGAAGAAAACTGCACCTGAGCAGAAGCAGTGGAGAGCAGCAGTGAATGTGGAGTCGCTCACTGTGAACAGGCTAGAGGCAACAATGAAAACAATGTTTACCAACGACTGTCTTTAAGGAATGAAAGCGAGACATTTTATGACGATATCACTCACACGTTACAGAACTTCGTGCTCGTAAAATGAACTGTGTGCTTATTGGCGAGTGAGTGTGAAGCCGAGGGGACTCGGAGAGGTAAACAGTAAAACAGATGAAATCTCCCTTTCTCTACCTGCTGGGCTGCTGAATATGTGTGTGCTATCAATTTGTCTGAAATTTGTAAAAACAAAACAATCTGGGATCTGACAGAAAAAAAACTGTTCCATTCTAACTGTTGGCTTATTTTATCTTTGGCATGTAGCGTTTGCCCTTATCCTGGGAAACCAGCAGTTTCAAATACTTAAGTTATGGTTGACTAAGTCTCACCGAATTAATCCATGTAAAATATCTTCTTAAAGGTTCAGTATTTAGGATTTAGGGACATCCAGTGGTAAAGTTGCATGTTGCAGTTGAACATCCCTCCCCTCACCTTTCTTTTGAGTTGTCATAAAAACTCAAAAGGTGTTTACTTTGTCCAGTCTACGGAGGCCACTATGGTGGAGCGGGTCCTGATGTAAATATAAAGTATTTGAATACAAAACGAATATTCGAAAAAAAACTAATGACAGAGATTTTTTTCTCAGTCTCAGAACTTGGGACAGTTTCAGTTGTTTGGCTCTCACAGGACTGCACTCAATGCTCTCTCTACATTCAGACTGCCCTTTAAGGCGATTCCTGGAAAGTTGGTGGACGCTCCATCTCTGTCTCCGTCCTCTGTATGTGCTTGTGGTGTGAGAATGGTAATCTTGGCCCATGTACCGATGCAGTCTTGGCTCAGTTTCCTGCATGCAACCCTGTACAAACATATCAGTCCTTCCCGTCTCTGAGGATCTATCTGTGGCAACGTTAGAAGAGCAGGAGGTAAAAGCATGATGAGAGCCAGATCGTCTCCAAGGGAATATGTTTACAGCCTGCATTGGCAGATGACTTTAGCGTTACTGGCCTTGCTGCTGCTATTACAGGCTTCAAACTTATTTTTCTTTATTATATCCACAAACATTGAAAGCTAAAAATATTTTTATCATCACAAATCTTTATGGGAAAGGTGATTGGTTTTTAACAGGTTAGGTCATTATGAAGGAGGAGGGAGAACTTGATCAACACTAGTTTGGGGCCCCTGCTGGGGTGATGGTGAGGAAAAGGTCAGGAGTGGAAAGCAGTTGTTATCTAACACTGCAATGCAAAGATTTAACTGATGGGAAAATCTCACCAGTGTCATGAGGGAACCGTAAGATTCATTTGTTCTGGGTGAGACAAGATCAATGGATGCAGCTCAAGTGGTTGCCACAATATTGTAAAAGGTAGTGGGATGCAGAAATCAGAGTACACTCTGAATATACTGTGAATGTAAGAATTCATTTTAAGTCAGAAAATTCAAGATAAAGAAGGATTACTACATGCAGAGGAGTGAGTAGACTATAATAGACATGTGGCTCCCCCTGCTGGTTAAACTTCCTCCAAAATAACAAAGCTGATTTTTTTACTAGTTTTCCACTCAATGCTTTGTTCTCATTGCAGCAATCTTTTTTTACATTTTTATCATTACGTAAAATTCTTGTTAACGGCATTCAAATGTGAAAAACGGATTAAAGATGCGTCTACGTAATCAACATCGTAGATGAAAGCGACATTAAGAAAAGATTTGAGTATCTTCAGATTCAGATTGTAGACAGCGTGAAGCGATACAGGAGGGATGGAAAGCTCCATTCCTCCTTTAGTGTTTTGTTGATAATGGCAGAGAGTGACTGTCTAAGAAGCACTTGTGAAATCTCTCATCGGTGTTCACCTGGTTTGAGATCACTGACTGTATCAGTACGGCTGGCATGACGGATCCCAAAAAGCGAAGCCAAAGTGCCTTGATCGCCCACTGGTGGCAGGCTACAGTATGATCATCACCTCCATGTAAGTGGATGGGAAGTAATCATCAAATTCTTTTTTCTCAAAGATGGTCTCTGTCATTTTAGGTAGTTGTTGATTTATGTTCACATTTTCATGTTTCTGATAAGTTTGGTTTAAATTAGTTGTTTGCTATAAAAAACACCTGGAGCGCTCATATCGGCAGGACCTTGAAACCACAGCTCCATCCCGTGTGTGTGCCAGATGGCAGCATTCATATCCAAGATATTTTATCTTTATTTCTGAATAGTGGGAGGAAGTGGAGACATGTTGTCTGTCTTTATATAGTCTATGGTTAAGATCTAGCCATAGTTTCTGATTCACATTCATTCACTGAACCATTTTGTCCTGCATGGAAGTGCATTTGTTTTTCATTTGATCATATTTAATTTTGTCGCCCATCTGTAAAACATAATGCTGATTTCACAATGTTCTACTCCTCTTGTCCCACTTGACCTACTGTGGACTCGGTGATCCCTCCCACAGACGCGGTGAGCCCGAGCAGGGTGTGGTACTGATACTGAGGGAGTGCAAGCAGCTGGGTGATATACAGGAAAGCTTGGGATGGAGCATTCCAGTTCAGACTGGTAGTGGTCTCTCTGAAAGACAAAGCAAAAATAATAAACCATTTGTTTAGTTATTGTACATAAAATGGCTCCGCATAAAGCTTTCATATTTTATGTAGAGTGCTGTGCAAAAGGTTTAGGCACTTCAGATGTTAAACAATAACATCAGAGAAGCGTCTGATCGGTCGCAAAGGAAAATAAACCCAGAACATACAGCCAAAGTCATAAAGAACAATAGAGACTATAAAGAATAAGAACAGGGAGGTCTTCCCACGGATGGTCTGGCCCTGACAGAGCTGTGATCTCAGCATCATGGGGTGAACGTGGGATCACATGAAGAGACAGAACGGACACATTCTGAATCCAAAGACAATATAACGTTTCCATGATGTTGGACCATGGACCTTGAAAAAGCCAAAGCGATTGTACCTTTGTGCATTGGTGCTGTTCTAAAGATAAATTAGGCCAACTGATGGAATAAATAGCTGGTTAAAATCATTAAGGCAGCAGTAACTCACACAGGGAAAATCTTCAACAGCTCTTCCTGGTGGGGAATGTGAGGAACTGCAGGCTCTGTGCTGTGAAGGAGGCGCAGGAAGATGACGCCAGCGTGGGCTCTGTATCGATCAATCTTCTCTGCTGCCTGCTTGGCCAGGCCGCACATCATGCACTTCACTCTGCATCATACAACGATAGAAATGTTTGAAATGCTTCCTGAAGAAAGATAAAATCACCAAATCTTGTTATCAAACCTATACCACGTAAGTCCTGTGCCTCGAAGACCAACGGAGACTCATGGGAGGTGACTTACAATACAGTAATCATTGATTAATCTTTTACTCAGCAGAAGCCAAACATAAACACTGTGTTTGAATTCTACCATGACGTGACTCTTTTTAATCTCAGCTAGTATCAATAAACGATCAAAGTAAATCCTGCATAATTGCTGATCCTGTTCCTCTATTAGAGTTCCAAAAAAATTTACACTGACTAAGTGCTCAGTTCTTGTGGCCACACCTTCTGACAGCGAGGTGATGAGGATTACTCAAGGCCACGAACAAACAACAGGTCTAGGAGCAGCTGGTGACAGTGAAGAGTTTCTCTGGCTGTACGATCTAGTTCTATAAAAATGAACCATGACTTGGTGTCAATCAATGTTTTCAGATTTCTTCTCACATGTCTGGTGAAAGGATCTCTGGAGAACTGCTGGCCACCAGCAGAGTCACATCCATCAGACTGGTCATTGCTGCCTCTCTCACCCTGAAGAGAAAGACAGGGGGAGATTCAATGCTTGAATCTTCTTCAAACTCATTGGCATGAGTCATCGAAAATCTATAAGGGGAGAGTGTCCTAAGAATTGTCTTTTAAAACACATGTGTCATATGATTCACAGGCTGGAAAAGCACAAACACCACCATTTGAAGAGTGTATACCTGTGTCACTGAATTTGGCAGCTTAATAGTCAAAGTAGCTTTATGTCTGCAGGGCACAATTTGTTTATGTGAAATGTGAATCAGGGCCTTCATTCAAAAGTCACACCCTGAAACAGGTGCACAGGCGACAGGTGGGATCCCCGATTATTGGCCTAGGAGAAAATGTGACACAAAAACAGAAAAGCCCACGCAAGAAAGAAAACACTGATAGTAGATAAGGAAGTAATAAAAAGGACGAATAAAGAACGATGAACAGAAAAAGATTGCCTGAAAGAAACAGCCCATCCCATGCTGTGAGGACATGTGACAAGCCTGGTGGCATTCCTGGCGAGTCAGTAAGCATGGCCTCGGGCTACTACTGAGAAAAGCATGCATGCATCATGTCTTTATGTCCTGAGGTGGAGGGGCTGAAAAAACACCAGAGGCCCACTGCTAATGCCTGAGGCAAATTTAAAGAGCATGGGTGTATTTGTGCGTCTGCATGTATATATCAAGATGTGTTGATGAGAAACTTCACTCACCAGGCCCCGATGTTCCCTCTGCCGTCTGTTGTGTAGTCATTGATGCTCTCCAGCAGCGTGTCATACACCTGGGCTACATTTTCCGAACATAGAGTAGAGTCTGGGGAGCCGTGGGCACAAACACCCACCGTCACACACACTCTGATGGAGCCAAAAAAAGAGACCAGAGAGATATCACATAAACAAATTAGATAAAGTTACATTTGTGGGAAAAGATGAAATAACAGTATTATAGAACGCAACAGGCTAACATGTCATTCAAGTCCTGCAGGTAGAGTCAGTCAACTGTTTATCTTACAATCTGCACAGCTACGCAGTTAAGCTAGCGAGACAAGCGAGACCAAGGACAGAGGGAGCTTTGTGACACAAGTCTGAACCATTAGCAGCTAAGAATAGCTAAAATACAAATATAGGACAACATGGAGACAGGAGATGCAAAGATGAGATGTCAATAAAACTTGCACATGAATACTCACTGAGCAATTGCTGTGACCGCATCTCTCCTCGCCTCTGTAAATTTCCCTTCCTTCTGGCTGACAGTGCACATCTGCTGGAGGCCTTCAAAGATCTAATACACGCACACGTACACACACATTTTATGCCTAAATACTAAGACAGTGAGATGTCAAATGCCTTGAAAATGCACATATAACTTAAGGCACACCTGCTTCAGTTTGCCATGGATCATAAATCTTGGCAGACTGCCGAGGGTGAGGGCAGATCCACAGCGAGTGAGCATCTGCGGACTCTTCAGCCACTCAATGTACTGAGATACCAGGACATCTACACATGTGCACGTAGACACGCAAACAGCATGCAGACATTATTTTCAAACCAAGACAGAGAGGAAAATCCAGCACATTAGGAAACTGTACTGATCCTACCCTGGATTTGTGAGTCAGCCTGCCCTGCCTCGACCTCGTAGTATTCCGCACACAAGGCAGAGAAAGCTGCTAACAGTGCAACCTGCAGAGTCAGGAGGAAGATCATTGAGTGAATGAAGAATAAAAGACTTTTCTTTAAGAGCAGACACTTTGTTTAATTACTTCCATAGAACTGTTTCTTTGCGGATATGTAACATTTAACTAGAATTTAACTGACAATTCAAAACAAACATTCGTATTTTCTTTAATCCCTGATGTTACCTCTGTTTAATACAGAAATATAAATCTTATTAAGTTTACCATAATCCCATCCTTCACTCCAGTGGAAACCAGATGAAGGTTTTTTATGGTGTCATCAATGAGCCACTGCCAGTCAGCTAAAACACAGTGACACAACATCAGACACTATTAGATATGATACTGAATGAAATGACTATTGACTAATGTTTAATATTAGAAACTTACTGATTACAGGGTCGTTCTTAAATGGCATTTTGGACAGGGACAGATTTTTTATGAGGGTGCACACTGCAGAGAAGATGAAAACAATCAAATCAGCTGTAACTGGAGAAACTCTTACTGTGATGTTTCAACTAATTAAAAAACAGTAAAACCATTGTTTTTGCTTTTGGACTTACTTGCTGGCCTCATTAGTTCTCCACCAAACCCCCTAAATAAAAGAGCATTGTTTTATTTTAAAGCCAAGTTATAAAAACATTTTTTTTTCCATACTACAAACTAGATTGAATCATTCTTCCTACCTGTACTGTTTTCTGTCCTGTAGCTGGAAGTGATCAACAAATTATAATCAGCAACAGAGGACATTTTGACCCAGTTCATTCAGTTAGAAATGCATTTCTTTTAGGTACCCTTACCTTTTGGTGAATGTTTTTGAATGCATCAACACATTCTGAAGAAATCATGTCCACCACAGTTCTACAGGACAAACACAAGGAACAGAAGGAATAGAAGCTGCATCATCAGCAGGACAAAGGCTTATGGAGAGCTCATCTCCACAGTATATTCTACTATTCAGGTGGGACTAGGATTCCCCCAGTTTGTGCCTCTCATGTATTAGCTTTACTGTTAGCTGCTAGCATCTTGTTAAGATTATTAAAGATTTTTCAGACTTGTCCAACCCCCTGAATGAAAACTGTTTCCTTCCTCTGCACAATAAAGATATAAAATTATTTTTAACCCATTTCTCAAGTTTTGACTTTGCTTCAAAAAAGGTAGATTCTGGCGAAACTCATGAGGTTAAAAACTTTTTTATCGTATAGTTAACATATTTTTATTCAGATGGCTAGAGGAGGATTTGAGGATTCTGGAAATACCTCTGGATGGGGAAGATGTTGTCTAGCAAGCTTCTGGGATTAAAACATTCCCGGGTGTTTATCTTTCAGAGACAATGGTGCTTTCATTGTGACTCAAATGTAAAGCTAAAGCTAATACATGAGAAGCACAAGCCTTGGACATCCAGCCCGAGCTCCATGTTCCTTTGTGATAGTGCTGAGGAGTCTACCTGTCGGTCTTAAGGCCCAGATTGTACAGAGCATGTGTGATCTCTGCACATGACAGGATGGCTCCATGGCGACTGTGGAGGTCAGTACCCACTGCCATGGTCAACAGCTGCGGCAGAACTGAAACCAACGAAAGTGCTTAGTATAAATCTACTCATGACCAATAATTATAGGTTTCAGTTCCAACCAGGTATTGTCGCATGAGCATTTTACTTGGAAGCACTACATTGCCTGGGAAACAGGTATGGTGACATTGTTTACCTGTTGTTGCCATATAATCGGGCGCTTGAGGCGTCAGGTTGTGGAGCGCTTTGCTCGCAAGCTCTCGGATCACACTACAAAACACACAGAACAAAGGAGATTTGTTTTAAAGATTAAAAAAAACGATATCTGTTTAATTATATTTGCTGAGATTATGAGTGCAAGACAATACAAGCACTTGCCCATCCCAGTGGTTGGTCTTCATGGCTATTAAATGGTCGATCATGGCATTGGTGTACTCCGGGAAACTAGCGATGTAAACACTGTGAGAACAACAAAAATACAGGATGAATGCCAGCTGTCTCTGTGAGAGGAAACCAATTAACAATTTTATAAGTCTTTATTTCATTTCATTTCTTATTAGCATTTACTTGGTCAGATGCGCCCTGAGGCTAACATCTTTCCATCCATTATGCTGCTGGAATAATTGCTCTGCTGCGTTTCTGCCAGGGGTGAACATTCTTGAAAGGGTTGAAGCTTTTCTATGTTTGACGGACACACAGTTCCCTCCTCTCGCTCAGAGAAAGTTGCTGCTGTTCATAAACACACATTCTTCAAAATTGAACCAACTTTGATCGATCAGAGTGCTGGAAATGTCTACACAAAACCTTGAGTTTTGGTTTACCGCACATCATTGTGGAAAGATTTACTGTCTCACATAGAGGTTGTAGACACATTTAAAGGTACAGTGGGTAGAATTTTGTGACCTAAATCTTACACACTGGACGTTTAACTATTTACTCTGCAAGAACAAGTGTGCATCCTCAGCCTTTGCTCAAGTGCACCTTCACTTTTCACGATTTTAGAAAGTGTGACAGTTAAGGCCAAGCGCCTTCAATCTGCCCCAGTAGTGTGAAAACAGTGTTTCTTACCTGATGTTGAGAAAACAATTGTTGAGATTTCCAACAGCATAGTAGTCTGCTGCAGTTACAATCTCAATACCATGAGGGAAAGTTCCCTGTTGAGACAAACAACCAATAAACAGCAGATATGTTTTCAGTGCATTGCGTTACAATGGTATATGTTGTTCAGAGAGCTTTGTGGAATAAGGACTGTTGGAAAAACAAGCGTTTGCTGGCAGCCTGACTGGGAGGCCATTTCTTTGCTTCAAAAGCTACTGCCGAAAAAGCAAGTTTGAGCAAGACCTGGTTATTTGGCAGCAAATAAACTTCCAATCACAGTGATTCTGTTTGTCATAGTGTATGAGTGGTTAATGCTTCAGTCACAAACCTGTCTGCCGACATTCTCCTGGAAGGCAGCCTGGGACAAAACAAGATATTAAAGTGAACTTGTGTCATGTAACTGTAGATGTTGAGTCCAGAGATCACTGGGTGTCGAACAGAGAACTTACAGAGGCGGCTCTGCGGCAGTTGACATTTCGATCAAACACTGCAGTGATCAGCAAAGCACTTCAGAGAGAAACACAAAGAATATAAGATGATGCAAATATCTGAGACAAGACTTGTATGAGGAGCTGTAAACTGTATATACAGAGGAAGGTAATTAGTTGACTGTTTTTACAGCCACCGACTGATCAACTTCAACTTTTAACTTGCTTTACTTTAAACATTTAAGGTTCATGGTAGTTAACGTCTGATGACAGTAATCACATATTAAGATAAGTATGTCAGTTCATCCCCTTATGGTTTGAACTTACTTTGTATATGAAAAATGGTCTTCACTGTGGTTTATCAGCCTGTTTTTAAAAATTATATATTTTGGGGGTATTTCACCCTTATTGACAGGAAGTGTGACACACAGCAAAGGGCAAACACTTCATAAACAGCAAAAGATTTTTAATTCTGCGGTAGATCAATCTTATAATTACTCACTGTGCTCACACAATGCATGAGCAATATATATCAATATATATTTGACTTTAATTTTATTGCTATTTATGGCAATTAAATCGTAACAATTGTTGATATTGTCCAGCTCTAATAACATTCATCCCTTTTTGTTTATTTGTAGTTTGTAGAAAAACTGACAAATATACAAACTCATAACTTTCCTTACTGAGTTATTAAATTTCTCAATAAGTCATGTTACATTGTACCAACAAGTGTTTCAACAGCTTAATCAGAAACAAATCTCTGACTCAGATTTTAAAATGATGTCTATGTCAAGGTTGCATCACCAAAAAACAGATTTTTTTGTTGTTGTACAACGGTTCCCAGCATTGCTACATGAAATCAGCCATAGTGTGATTAACCATGACTGCTGCTTTATGGGAAGTCTTTAGTGGCTACGCTTTGACCTCTGAATCTTCCCCCTCTATGTTGCCTCTACAGGTTATAGGAGAGGTGGATGTGTGGATGTCAGTTGGTTATCTGTCTTTTTAATGGACAGCCTGGCACTAACTGTTGTTTATTTTGCTTGCTCTACTTGCTTCCTGACACCAAGATTCAGGCCTGCAGCTTTACTAACTGCCCCTACCCCGAGGGCTTGAAAACAAAATGATTGCACAATGGATCTGTATCTGTAACTGTGGAAGTAGACAACCGTGTGTGTGTGTGTGTGTGTGTGTGTGTGTGTGTGTGTGTGTGTGTGTGCGCCCCCAAGTCACCTAAGTCCCACATTCTAAAAAGTTAGTTTTCAGCAAATGTCATCAAGCTGTAATGAATAGAGCAGGAACCAGCTTGTCGGAGTGTGGCTGCCAAACGGCGACCGAAACCTACAGCAACAGGCGAAACCTGGCAATCCTGTAAGCTAGGAGAAGGGAGGGTGTATGGTAATGTTCATGATAATGGCAGTAGGGGTTCAAACTGACTCTGCAGAGCTGGTCTGCACAGTCAGAGGCCACAGGTCCATACATGCTCGGAGGAGGCAAACCGTTAGTATTGACAAAGACTGAACTAACGTCACTGGATGATATTGCACCTTAGTTTCTCTGCGCTGGCTGATTACATAAAGTATCGAGATGTCTTTCATTATTTTCAAGGTTGCCCCCTGCTTTCGAACCTGGATGAATTTTGCCTGTCAGTCTAATGTTGGAATAAGCATCCTGGTCACGCTGAGTAAAGCCACAAATAAATTAATGTAAGTCACTTATGTCCAAATAAAACACTTTAAGAGATAGATAAAGCTTGCAATGTTACATATTACATCTCTGAACAAGGACAGCATTTCAGTGCCTATTTTTACATTTATTTTATATAAACAGTCTCCTTATGAAACCACATTTTAATTCACTAGAACTGGATTTTTATTTGGATCTGCACCAAATTGCAAACATATATTAATATCAGTCCCGTAAAAATGATTTTGGAATTATTCTCTGGGAAATCAGTGAAAATGTTGAAAAATGCTTTTGCAATGTTAAAGAGAGTGAAAAAAAATTCTAACAAAATTTAAAAAACTTTGTAAAAGTATCCTAAAAACATAACACTCTTTGACGGACTGCTGCTCTGTTTACAAGTGCAACAGTACATACATAACAATTTTAATATGATCTTTTTTTAATATAAATAATTATTCCACTATTAACTCTTTTCTGTTTATGCAACACAGGCCTTATGAATACACTTAAATTGGTTCTGATGGCAAAAAAATGCCCACAGGCCCGAAAATGTCTTTCTAGCTCCCGACTGATGAACTCAACTGAGTTCACAGCTGATTTTCCCAACGGGATGATTTTCAAGACATGTGGCTCTATGAATTTATGAAGCGTATCATTACTGTGTCTGAGGAGGACAGCACGTATTCATTTATACAAAAGAACCAATGGCACCGAGCCACAAACATTTCAACAGCATGTACCGTTAGGCAGCAGTAAAATTTTCGGAGACAAAACATAACAAGGAAACGCATGTTCGACATTAATATACACCATTATTTGATTCACACAACATGTGATGATCACCTTTTGATAATATAGTCTTGGAATTACATACAGTATGTCTGTCTAATTAAGATCAAGAGCACGTTGTGACCAATTTCCCTGCAGAGGCACAAAACCAACACACAGTTGTGTTATGTGTTGTGCTAGTAACGTTGGGACTCGCATGATGTGGTCGAGAAAAACTGGTTTGAGGCAGTAAATAACTGCTTAGAGGCAAACTAAGCAGCTTCTGTTCAAAATACAACCATAAGCAAATTTGCACTGAGCTGCAACTTAAACATCTTCAGCCTCCATTTTAAGTGTATTGAATTATACGAATGCATGCTTCTGCTTCTGTTGTCGGCCCATATGTGTTTTTCCTATTTTCTGTCCTAGTTGACCTTTATTTTCCTTTTCTGTCAGGCAAGAGTAGGTACTGTGTTGTTGAGGGTGGCAAATATGTTGTGATGTTATTCTGATGTAAATAAAGATGTAAAATGTTCATGACAGCGTTCATACAAGGAGGTTAAAGAGCAACAACAACAACATTTTGAAATGGAAGTACAATTGTTATCATGCAGATGATCCTGACTTTTTCATTATGTATTCGATGAAAAGCTATTATCAATAAAATACGTAAAATGGTCTTCACTGTGGTTTATCAGCCTGTTTTTAAAAATTATATATTTTTGGGGTATTTCACCCTTATTAAGAGGAAGTGTGACACACAGCAAAAGTTCCCAGCATTGCTACATGAAAACAGCCATAGTGCGATTAACCGTGACTACGGGTTGATCTCAGAATCTTCCCCCTCTATGTTGCCTCTACAAGTTATAGGAGAGGTGGACGTGTGAATGTCAGTTGGTCATCGGTCTTTTTCGATAATAAAATAAAAAATAAAATGAGTCATTTGGGCCCACACAAGATTCACTCTTAAGACAGTTTACTTGACATACAGAAGAGCGTAGTGTGGTTTTGCAGCAATCTCTGCATGTGGTGTGGTTGTATGGGAAGGGAAAGAAGAGAGGGTTACCTGGCAATCTGATTGACAAACAGGTGGAGGTCTTTGGGCTCATAAGCTCTGGCGAAAGACCAGCACACGTAGCAGGCAGCGTCCCGCACGTTGGAACCAACGCTGCACGCTCCCCTCTTCTCGTCATAGGTCAGGGACTTGATGATGAGTGGCACGACTGCGAGCAGACAACAGAGCTGGATGAGGACTTTAATCTTAAAAACCAAAAAACTAAGCATTTACATTAAGCATTTCACGTATACTGTATACAATCTCGAAAAATCAGGAGTGTTCAAATATTTCAAATTTAGAGTCAGTGGATTATTGTGTGATATATGCTGCATGCTTGATTTATTTTACAATAATGAACATTTGAAAGATAATTAAAAAAAAAAAAATTTTAATTTTAAAAGACCTGCTTTGTGGCAGTCTTCCTTTAAAATCATATAGAATTGATTAAAAGTAATAGAAAAAAATTAAGTTGTGCACAAAATGCTGATATTTATATGTAGTGTTTGGGAAACAAAGAATAACATGATTAGCTATAACGAGTCTGCATTATTTTCTTTGCACACTGTTAACATAAGGAGGGAGGTAACACTGAACAAGAACAGCAACAGTTCCACCTGCAAGTATGCAAATTCCATGTCGATTTTGCCAGCATGCTACTGTGCTTGACTTGAAACTTGATGCTTTATGTAAATGAGCATGTTATTCTCTGTAACCACAGAAAAGGGCCCGCGTGGTCATTTCTACACAAGAGACTGAAGAAGCAAGAAAGACGAAGAAGGCACGATAGCCCCCACCTCACCCCGTCATGTTAATCATCCCTTGAGGCCTGACTAATATCAAGTACATCAGTGTTGCCCAAGGGCCCTGCTGTTTGGGATGAAGCTCCACCCACTGCTGAGACAACACCTCAGAGAAAGGAACTCACCACACAACTATCATCACACATGCACGGTCACACACAGACACACTCTCAACTCTGAGCACATATTGGAGCGAATGTCCTGAGGAGACACTAACGTTTGCTGTGGACTGTGCAGTGGCTCTCTGCAGGCCGAATACTCAGGAGAGGACACTCAGAGAAGGTAATCTTTTCTTTATATATTCTTTCTTAAATAAAAACTGAGTAGCATTGAATCATATTTAATAACTTATGGCACTCTGTCAAAGCTTTCCTGAGTTTTCTTAAGACTCCAATGTTTTGTTAAGGCACAGTTCTCTAAACTGTAAAGGTCTATTTAAGGTAGTATAAGCATTGCATGCACCTGTTACCTATGGACGTTATTTGGCACCTGCTTGCACTGCTGTCGATGAATCACAGGTAAAGTGCCTGACCTGCATAGAACCCTCTAACGAAGTTTTTAGCTAAATGATACAGCCCTTTTTTCATGACAACATTGATTGTCTGTAAGTAAAATAAAACACACCAGAGATCCAATGATCCAAATGTATTTTTACAAAGACAAAAACTAACCAGAAAGGTTTTGATTGTGTTATATTGGTAGTGAACTGCAATCATGTTAAAAAGGGACTTAAAATGAATTTCAATACTGAAGAAGGGAGTGGCGTTGCGTGCTACTACAGTTGGACAGAAACTTGAGTGACAGCTTCTTGCGACAGCGCATGACAAGCAGGTTCCTCCGAGCGACACCCAGTAACACTTAACTCACTGCTTAAGGTGATGTTTCATTTCAAAGGCGAACCAGGAGTGTCTCAGATGCCAGCGACTTCACCTATTCCAGCTGGTGCATCCCAACGTTAATAAACCTCATTTCTCCAAAGCTGGTGAGCTCATCAAATGATGAATGAGAGAGCGCGTCCCGCAGGTGTAGTCATGGGAAGCAGGTGGCTGGTAGTTCCCACGCCAACAGCCCAGACTTTAGTAAGGTTGAGAGAGAAAGCAAGTCTCTGCATGCCCTCCAGGCCCGTGTTAGTAAGTGTCTAGTCTACCCGACAACTGCCGACCTTGTGCCGTAGCAACTCCCCAACTTTCAGGACACATGAGTGGAGAAAAATCAGAATGATAGACATCTGAACACACACGCCAAGTAGAATCGTTTGCAGGCTGCTGTCTATCGACTAAAACCACACTAACACACAAGTGCACCTATGCAAACATGCGGGTAATATTTTGCATACAGGAGACACGTTTTAATATTTAAATTAGTCTCAACTCAGTGTCTAATATAGTGTAAAGAAACAGTTGAAGAAATATATTAGCCCGAGGGTGTAGTGTTTTGTGCAGCTAGAGATTTTTCTGACCGAGCAGATACAGAAACACTGAGAGACAAACCTTCCAGTAGATAAACTCACTCCACCTGAACCAGTCGAACAACTTTTTAAGCCTCATTACTCAGTGACAATCTGGAACAAAAGCAGCAATGATTCAGGAGTCAATCTTTTTTCTTGTTTGTGTGACCATCTTTTCTTAAACTTCAATATTCTCTATTTTTATTTCAGAAAAGTGCATTAGAACCAAGATGGAGACTGCTCAGGAACGCAAGCCTAAAAGACCCCACTACATCCCCCGACCACCAGGCAAGCCCTTCAAGTACCAGTGTTTCCAGTGTCCTTTCACCTGCAATGAAAAATCCCATCTCTTCAACCATATGAAATACAACCTGTGTAAAAACTCGATCTCTCTGATGTCCCAGAAAACTGGGCAAACAGCTCGACAGGTCAAAGCTGCAGCAAAGGGAGCCCCCGACACATCCAAGGATTGTCCGAGCCCTGTGCAAGCGGTTCAGGACGACAGTCCTCAGACACAGGGAGCTGAGGAGAACAGAGAAGACACAGAAGAAGTAGACGTAGGGTGTGACAGTCCAGTAAATAAGGACAGCCAGAATGAAGCAACACCAAATACAGTTACAGAGAAAGAGAACAGGGAGAGCAATGAAGCACAATCCCTGCCACGCCTATCTGCGTTCAACGCTGTCACACCCAACCGTGACAGATCTGACACCTTCAAGTCATCTGTGCAGCAGTCAGAGGATTCACAAACCCCTGCTCCCACTTTCAGCCAACCAGGCTTCTCATGGGGCACGATTTCATCATCCATCCCCTTAAAGCCATTAGCCCCTCCCATGCTTCCTGAATACCCGACTTATCTCCTGCCAGACCGCCCCCTGTATCCGTCATACTACCTCCAAGGGAATCAACATGCAAATGAGCCAAACTCTTCTTCTTTCCAGCCAGAGTTTCTGGACCAACAGAGGCCGGTGATGCCACAACCCATTGCCCAACCTCACGCTTCCCTCTTTCCTGCATACGCATACAGATACTGCCACCCTCTCCACCCATCCCCTCCTATGCATTATACCCTGTACAGGCCACATGAGCTCTCCATGCCATTTACAGGACCCAGATATATTCCTTTGGACTTGTACGAACAAACCCTGAGGCCCAAGGACTATGACCTATACATGCATTCACATCCCAGACACAATGGCCTCATCACATCTGCACAAGAGCAGAGCAACCATGGCCAAAGTGGAGACAAGGCTACCAGGCTCAGCCCCAAAGAGGGTTGTTCTGCTTTGGGGTCCCCGGACAGACCCAGCCATGCACACAACATCCAGAGAGACATAGAGCCCCTGCAGTACAGCATGGGTGAGTCTCAGAACACCACCCAACTAGTCCAGGCAGCTGCCGCCACGCAAGACATCACGTCTGACTTAAGACAAGAGTCTGCTGAAAGCTTGCTGCATTTAAGACTTCAGCATGTGGACAGAGGGTAAGCGAAATCCCCATTTTTTATGTACAGCTTAACTGAGCTGCAGTATATTGCATTTACAATTATTGTAATAAGTCCTTGAAATGTTTGTTTTGGTGGTTTCCTTTCAGGTCAGCAGAGAGCAGCAGTAATTCCTCCATGTCTGTCTCTGAACCATGTCCACAAACTACGTCCGAACAAGATGATGATGAAAGCAGAGAAGATCTGGCTCCCCTCAACCTCTCAACAAGAAAACAGGACACAGAAAACAGCCCATCTGACCACAGGCTGAGGTGTTCAGACACAGAGAAATTAAAGGGGGATGATCTGCCTCTCAACCTCAGCATTCGAGCTTGGCACAGCAGCCCTGAAGAGCTTCAGCAGAGGCCAGACGGTGAGCTGGACGAAGAGCGGTTCGACCAAAGGCAGACGGCAGCGCTGGCTCTCTGTCAGCTCTCCATTGCAAGCTCTGCTGTCACCTCATGTGACTTAAGCACTGCAGACAGGCCCTTAGAAGATAACACGGATGGTAGAAGTCCTGGCTCTCCAGCGAAGACTAAGCACAAGACAACTGGCAAGAAGAGAGCGAAGAGTGGCAGGGCTGAAAACAACTGCCATAAACCGAACAAGCGAGCAAAAGTTTCAGGACGGCTTCTGAGAAGGAGGCATCGCTGACACTAACAATTAAACTCTGACTTTTATAATATTTGTTAATAAGGACAGAATATTTCCCACCTTTCACTGGAAGCCTTAACGTTCAACTTAATGTTAACATATTAATTAAGCACTGAAAGATTTGATTATTCTAGAAATTATGTGAAATGTCTACAGAAGTGGCACAGGGTCTGTCATTAAGAAAACAAATGTGTTAAATGAAAAGACATGTTGCCACAGGTGTGTACATATAACGTCTTGATATCAGACAGAAAAAGATGAAAAGCATTTTTTTAAAGGGTTGTTAATATTTAAATCTGGACATTTTTGGAAATGTGTAAAGTTGACAATGGAAAATATGGCAATGCACTGTAAATGTAAACATTTTGAATAAAGAAGTAACAAAAGCTGATTTAGAGAAGTCAATTTATCTTCTACTGTAATAACGATTTGAATTTGTGGAAACTTACCCTCTGTCAGTCTGGATGGCAGCAGCAGGCCTCTTCTGCTAAGCTCTGCCAAGGCCAGGCAGCCTCCGTGCCAAGCCATGTCGGTTTCCTGAAAGCTTGAAACACACAACACACACGTTGCAGTTACAAATATAGAACACATTTCTTGAATAGTGGAGCAGCTTTAAATGTTGTCCCTACATGACAGGTACTAAAAAAAAATTTAAAATTTAAAAAGAATAGCCGAGAGTCACTGCAGGTTAGAGCAAATATGCCCCAAACCTACCTGAAGCAATCCAGCAACGATCCAACAACCTCGTCTGCCAGCTCTCTGGGAAGCCTCCCAGTCACCCTCCCAATGCTGAAGGGGTAAAAACATTTAAATTAAACAAAGACAACTGGAGATGCTGTCTTTCACATATTGAATACAAAAAACAAGCTACAAGGAGAACTTGTCATAAGCCATTGCAAATTTGTTTAGTGGGGACAGATTGTTACCCCTTTGCCGCAGACCACCGCACAATGGTTTCCTTATCTTTAAGTCCCCCCAGCAGATGCTCTGTAAAAATAACACATGCAAATTAAATTTTCAGAAAAGACGTATTGCAATAAAACTCTTTTCACACATAGTGGTGGCAGGAACTTACCAATAACACTTTCTACTTCTCCAGGTATATCATAGTCTTCTTCCTGTTCCTGTGTGTCCACATGAGGAGTTAGAGCATCAGTAGCTGAAGCAGATTGGGGCATGGAAAGGTTTGCAGCGAGGGAGCGGCTGCCCCTCTGGTAACTGAAAAACATAAATATATACATTTCTAAACTTTGTGCTACTGCCACTCATGTTTTAGATGTGACAAAGTTAACTTTGACATAACCACAAAAATCATTTATTTATTTATTGGTTTCGTGTCTGACCGCCAAGCAGCCAAACGTGGCTTCAGGAAGGTGAGGCCAAGTCTCTGGATTAGTTTGACACTAAGCTTCCTCAGCATGGCCTGGCTGCTCTCCGACATGTGTCTCTGCTCCAGACACTGCAGGACTGTAGGAGCTGGGAAACACATGAAAATGTAATAATTATATGAGTTATATTAATTAATTATACAATTAAATCACAAAAATTAGGAAGTAAATTAACATATACAGGAATATACAAAACATGGGGAGATCTCTGCCTAGAAGCTAAGAAAAACAATTATTTTCATCTTGCATAGTTGAAATGCCTTTTGGTTGGAGATTTGAATATTTAAATACAGGATATTTGCATATCTCAGGTTAACAACAAATGGCTAATCCCAAATGTTATGGATGAGGTTCATATACGAGCGACAACTGGACAACTCTCTATGTAAACTGACAATATATTTATCAATATTTATATTTTAATTAAATCATATTAAATTACATTATTATGGGACATGCAACCTACAATTTGCATTCCACATAGGATGAATATTATACTGATATAACAAGATCACAGAGTGAGACAAAGATCTGTAATTATAGTAATATTTCCATCAAGTTGAGGCCGTCTGAACTCCTGAGATGCCTCTAAAAACATCTGATTGTGACTAACGGCAAAATAAACAGATCTTCATTCATTTTACTACTGCAGATACAGTAGCTGTAAAAGAGAAACAAAGGGACCTACCATACTGGAGTAGGTCATCTCGTTTCCCATGTTTGAAAAGCTTTGCCTAAGAGACACAATTAAGATCAGACCAGATCAATCCATCACAGTGCAGAGGACACATGAGAGCAGAAGCATAGGGGAGGGCATCACACATTTAGAAATAGTAATTATTTTAAAAAAAATCACTAAACGGACAAAGTTACAGAGTTCTCTCAGAAATCAGCGCGCATTCCACATTCCATACTGTCCATACCAAGTTTGTATGCCTTTTTTCATTGCTTTAGCCTCATTCTTCAAACAGAACAGCAGGTATGAGCCTTAGTGACTGAACAGACAGGCAGTTTTGAACATCCTACACGCTACAGAGGCTGGGGGGCCTGCCAGAAGATTTTTGACAGTAAGTTCAAAGGAACACTTTTTTAAATGTTACGCAAGCTTATTTGGCAATAATTTGACTTTTATATTCTTGCTTGAGGGCTGAGATACGTTACCTTAACTGACAAGTAGTGATTTGGATATTGCTAATACGCCCACAACCCTGTTCACATTTGCTGAAAAACTACAGCATTTCTCTTAAATCTACGGATTAAATGGACATAAGTCACTTGAAGCAGAAGCTCTCACACATGCAGCAGGTGCATTACACACCTGTTAAAATCGCATTTGGTGAAAAACATACCAGTCATGTCAGTTCTTGCAAACAACCCTTTGCAGGTTTTGATGCCGCAGCACACACAGATGGCACTGGTTCAAAACACTCAAACAACCAGGCGTGTACACAAAACCAACTAAATATGATCAGGGAGTATGTGTTTACCAGAGACTCCAGAACACCATTCAACAACCTAATGTCATTCAGTAATTCGCCATTGGTCTGGGATATAGTGGTGAGGCTCCAGTCCAAAAACTCTCCGAGACACTTCTGTTGCACATCGGGGCGCGTCATGAACCTGTACGGTCATGTGCAGGAGAAGACGAGAAAGACATAAAAGATTTCATCTGGATAAACAAAGGAAGCCGACAGTAAAGGCATTCTAACAACAACCATGCTCTCTACTGGTTAGAAGGTTAATTACATTGTATAGTTCCACATGGTTGGTAAAGTCATAAATGATACCACGATTTTACACGATTATACACTGCATGAAACAAAATCAAAATTAAACCGGACAAAACTAGAATAAATAATTGTGGTAGCTTTCAACAACTATTTTAATTTTTTTTAAATTGACAACAGAAATAAAATGATAAAATAATCTGCAGTCCAGTGTGATTGCAGCCTGACACTGAATTAAGACAATGGCCAAAACTAGGGGCAAACCCAATGTCCATCAAAATATGTAAGACATGTCTTGTTGGTGAGTTCTTGATGATACAGATTTGATCAATACAATAACTATCATTTTCCAAAAAAGGCTTTTTTAGGACACTCATCTTTTATGTGTGTAAATATTGAAAAAGTAAATGATCTTTAAAGAAATATTACTGTTGCACTGATTCAAACTGTGAAACTTGTTGTATATCTTTTAGAGACAACCACAAAATTAAAGTACAAAGTAATAGTCTGTTTATGCACTTACTTTGATACCAGGACGCTTGCAGCATCCCTGGAACTATCATTGACGGTTAGATAAGACTGCAAACAAGAAAAACACTGTTATTCATACTGTATGACATCATGACTGTCAAATACCATCACATACTTAAAAGTTATAATACAACATATAGACAAACATAACCTGGGCTAAATATATCTCAGCTCAGATGTTACACTATTACATTCTTCTGCTTGTTTTATTTCTTTTTGCTTTAATATCTGATTCTAAAACAAAAGAAGGAGCTTTATTATAAGCTACATTAACTGTCACAGAAATTTTCTGCTGAGCTTTTAGACTGTTAATTATACTATTTTATATGATCCGCAAATCCTGACAACAAAGACGATCCCTTGTGGAGATGCATTCAGCTCAATCTCTCCAACAAAATCAAGATTATTTCATATTCTTAACTTGCCTTTGCAATAGCTAGAATCCGCTCCATAGTGGACTCTCTGGGCTTTTCACCGTCTGACTCCAGATTGCCATCCAGACGAGAAAGGTCAAAGGGAATGAGGCAGGTCATGGAAAGCCATAACAACAGCATGTAGCGAGTTTCCCAAGTCTGGAATTAAAACATTAAAACAAACTGCTGCTAAGGCTACGACAAAGATAACACAATCTAGATTTGTAAGAGGAAAATGCATTAAGCCATGACATGTGATGACAGTCTCACCTCATTGTCTGTGGGATCCTGTTTGGACAGCAAGTCCAGGACTGGCTGGAGATCAGCAACCTCATGTGGAAGAAGCTGCATGAAGACTTTATAGCCTCTAACCTGAATAGAACAAAGTACAAGGACTCAGGGGGCCTATCACAGAGGAGTGTTACTGATAAGTGCAATGAACATTCTGTTCTGAGGAATGAGTTTTACTACGTACAGTGGAATTATACCGATTTAGCATCTGTCAGCAAGAGCACTGGTTATACCGACCTTAGAGATGATGTAGAGAAACTTGAAGCTCAGGTGAACCAGTGAAGATGGAGACTTTTCACTCCTCACAAAATCCAGGAGCATATTCAACATCCATTCTGTGAAAGAAAATGAATATTGATTCTCCAGACGAATCTCCAATACTAATCTAAATTCGAAGCAGAGTCACACTTGATTGAATGTACCTAGATGTGGGTCCAGCAGATGAGGCTGTGGCTGATGCCCGTCCATGATCACTGTGGGAGGAAACAGGCAGGGTGTGGTGAACCGTGAACGAGCTGCACCGCCATAAACGTGTTTACGAGAGGATTCTTGAACTCTTGAGAAGGGGACATGTCTCACCTAGGAACTTTTGAGTGGTGAACTCTGTGGATGTCATGTCCCCGTGGACTTCCGGCAGACTGGAGATGAGGGCCCAGGTCTCGTCTTTCTTGCTGAAGCCGTCCAGGACACACGCCGTGACCAGGGGCTCGGACTCTGCCCCATCACCACCGCAGGAGCCGCTCTCTGCGTCTGCTAAAGCCATTCTGAGTCCCTTCTTGGATAACGTATAAGTTGTGCAGCGGTTAGCTAGCTATGACTAGCAAATAAAAAGATGGGTGTGGATGAAATTAGCCTGGGGCACGATCGGATTTATTAAACTTACACTAGAAAGCACAGTCTAGAGAGTACACAGGAGAAAAAGACATTGTTATCAGAGTGAAATTCATCTCACCAGATTCCTCTTGTGTTGTGATGATGCTTCCTCACAAGTGCGCAACCATAGACTGTATTTCAAGACTGCGCAACATGCTTTATCGTCCCTCCTCCTGCTGTACGGCAAGCCGTCAGGACATTCCCGTTTGCGCCTCCTTCACTCTGAATCAGCAAAAATCATCGGTATGAATTGTAAATATGATTTATATTAGATATGTATAATTAACTAAGCATGTATACCACACTTAAACCAGTTTTAGTTCAGTTTTGTCTGTTTATAAATTGATTTACATCTAATATTATTACTTTTGATGGATTTTCCCCCAATAAGGAGAAAGGATTTACGTTTGCATATAGGCAAAAGAACAGATAAAATATAATGACCTGGCTTATAAGTTGATTTTATTAGATACCTGTGTGTGTTGGATGGCACAGCAGCATTAAAAGCCTGGGAGATCAGGTTTCTGGAAGCAGGGATCAAAAAGCTGCGGTGAGGTCTATATGATGATGGAGGTCCTTGTGTTTGATTCACCAGTTCTCAAACCAGATAGATACAAAATAAAGTCGAGTAGACCACAACAAATCATTTGGATCATCTGAGGGTTTATTGTTAGTTAAACAATGGATACATTGCAATGATTTATTACTATGTAGCAACACTTTGTAGGTGTATGTAGCGTATCAGTCTGTGTGACAGCAACAGTCAGACAAGAAAGTAAATAGTTTTGAGATAATTAAGTTTGTATCATTAAATCATACAATACAATTATGGGTGGAGCAGTCAGGGCAGTTTTATACACACTATAACATATATTACAATGCTGAAATGCTATGTTTTAGTCTCTCCAACAATTACCCACACTCGTTTTGGTCAACTTAGCCTCTGTCAATATATACATAATACTTGGCTTGTCTTTAAGACATGTGAAGCTTTCTACAAAGTGTGTGCAATTACTTCAGTAAGTTCTTCAGAATTCTTATTGAGGAGCCTCTGTAGCCACCACCAAAGTGGTTCCAGTGATTCAGATAGTGGTAGAGTTGGTAAAGCTGGTTTCTCTCTGCAAAGCCGGGTGCTTTAGGAATTTTTTCATGGTAAGCAGAGTAAAATGATCTGTCGAAGCCACCGAACATTCCAGCGATACCCAGCTCAAACTCTGAATGGCCATAGAAGGAAGCAGGGTCAAAGATGACTGGGCCATCTGCACACTCTGACACGTTGCCTCCCCATAAATCTCCATGGAGGAGAGCAGGGACGATCTCCACATCTTTGAAGAACTGAGGGATCTTCAGCTGTCAAAAACAGACAAAATACGTAAGTTGCATGGGCACATTATCGTTACAATCATGGAGATGTGTAAAGTGTGTTTCTGATGAGGGTGCACCTGTAGCTTGGCCCACAGCTCTCTGGCCTCCCTGTCTCCATAAGAATTCTCCACCATGTTTAGCTGGTGCTGCAGCCGCTGCTGGGAGAAAAATGTCACCCAGTCATCCTGCCACTCGTTTCTCTGGGGGGACGAGAAAATCAAAAACAAAAGTGACTTAAAGACCACGTGCTACATATGTTTCACCTCGTATACAGATAGAATATATTTTTTACCTGTGGTAGATATCCACAGCATGTAGGTACACTGAAGCCACATTTCCCCACAACAGCCACATCTGACTGCCCAGCTCCTTTTCCTGCATATGACAGCATAAGTTAAATAGCATTATTTATGTGAGTTTATATATCAGTAATAGTCACTAGCAACAAGAGGTTAAAAGATTTATGTGGATTCATTCAGATTTACATGTACAAAGGTGACATTACGGTGAATTACCCACTGTCTGTTGCTCTTTCTCTAATTTTTCCATCAGTCTCTTGTTGTGAAGATGCAGATCGGCCAGCTGCTCTCCCAGCTGCTTTGAGTATCTACACATTGAAGTTGTTGATGATAAAGAATCACATTAAAAAAACAAACAGGGTTGGATCACAGTCTGTACACACAGTGGTAATGGCACCAGAACAGAACTTAACAGGTTGTATGAGAGAGCTCTTACTTGTTCAGACCTCTCATGTCCAGATGCTCCATCACAAACACACATCCTCCTGCGTCGAGCTCGATCACCTTCACAGGTTTGGGGACTTTGATGGTGTCTGTCTTTAAAATGGCTTCCAAACTGGCCATCTCTCCATCAAACATCTGTTTAGCCTGAATTTAAAGCACACAATAACAGGATTTGGGCAGGTGAGCATGTGGTTTGCATGTTACTGATTAAATAATTATATATTGGGGTATAGCTATATTACAATGGAAGAACAAAACTAATTCAATGATGTGCTTTTCCATCAAGACTAATAGTACAGAGGGCGACACTGACATTAACTAGCACATGCACTATAGTAAATAGATATTAGAGAATAATATAAAATACCTCGCTCTTGTGATTGATCTTCACAAACACTCTCCCAGTGTCTGTATCATAACTCTGGCCCTCGCTGATACATCCACCTCCTGAGTGACCCGTAGACTTCAGCATGGCTGTCCCCAACTCCTTCTTTAATTTCGCTTCCATGTTTATCACCCCCACAAACAACTATAGTGGAAAAACAGCGATGCTAACAACAACTCCAGCCCAGATTAACTGTAGCGTCACAAGTTTTCGGTGCACGGGGGCGTTTTCGGAGTGTTGTCTTGTTTTGCTTCCGCTTGCATTTACTGCAACGGAGCAGCAACGAATCAGAAACAAGACTGCGATGATTGATGTCTTCTTTGTCCAATCGCGGCGACGTACCGCGATTAGTAGAGCGTCGCCATGGTACCACTTCCGTTTGGGACTACATCGGCTACATGCTATCGTCGTGGCTGCTGTGCTCCTGCTGCTGGAGGGAGGAAATGACCAGAAATGACGCGTGTTTGCTTCTCGGAGCCACCGGCGTCGGAAAAACGTTGTTGATGAAACGTCTTCAAAATATCCTTTGTTTCCAGTTGAGTGTTTTGAACCAGAACTGTGAAATAAGTGCTGCCAACTGCAAGTGGTGTGTTTCTTCAGTGCGGCTAATGTAGCCTGATTAGCTGCCGTTGCTAGTCTTATGGAATTATGAATGCACACACTAGCATTAAAACACTAGCTAGCTAAGTGTTGCATGTGTATTGCAGTGTACACTCAGTTGTCAGTTTATTAGGGACACGTACTAATGCTGTAGAGTTCATATCTTAACGCCCCTGCTAATGCTGTGCAGGTTTGTTGATACTGTGCTTAAGAGGCGTTGTCTTATTTTGTTGTGCTGTTGAATTGTGCTGTTGCATATTCTATACACTATATATATATACATATATATATATATATATATACTTCTGTACTGTGGTATTCTAGGAGGCGTGTGTGTTGTTTAGCCTACCCTTATTAGTTTGAATGGAGGGGACAAAATAATAGGAACACTTAGCAATGCAGTTTTACCTGATAAACAACTAACTAATAACATCTTCTCCACTGATATTAGTTGCAAAACAACAACCCTCAGCAATTAAATTAACAGCATAAGTGATATGGCATTAGTGTCAAAGGAAATTATTGGAAAAATTACATCACATGGTGTACTGAATTGCACACTACAGTGTAGCCTATACATTTTAAATGTTGCTATCGAAGCTAAATTGAAGCAAATATTTGGTTGAACTCACGACATTGGCTCCCGTGGATTCTTTTCTGAACCCATTTGTTTACAGTTTGGTTTGCATGGATCAGGTGAACTAGGGACGGCTCCTCCTACCCTGCCTACAGTAAGTGATCATGAGATTGTTTTAATACAGAGTTTGCAGGCTCCATTTTGACGGGCCGGCCCATCCTTGTAACGTCTCGGATCTCTTTGATTGTCCGCAGGTAGGAACCAACCTGACAGACCTGACACTGAAGAAGAGGAAGGTGACCGTGAGAGAGCTGGGAGGCTGCATGGGCCCCATATGGCCGAGCTACTTCAAAGACTGCTCCTCTGTCATTGTATGTTTTTTATGTAAAGATCCTGCATCTGCTCGCAGCATTTGATGGAAATAAATAACGGATTGTTTGAATTATAACTGAATGTATCTGTGTCTTCTCACAGTTTATGGTGGACTCGGCCAACACTGCTCAGGTATCCTCCTCCTGTATCCAGCTGCTGTCAGTACTCTCTGCTGAGCCTCTGCACAGTGCCTCTGTGCTGATTCTCTTCAACAAGAGGTAGCTCTCTATATGCAATAATCCCTACATTCACTTGCACACATGCACAAGAGGCAGCAGCTTCAAGACAACATGTGTAGAATCTGATAATTATTGTTTGGTATTGTGTATTTTCTTATATTTGTTTTTTTTATGCCACTTTTTTTTCAGGGACATGCCCTGCACTATGAGTCTTACAGAGATAAAATCACTGTTTAGAATGGATGACATCATTGCATCTGCTACTCAGCCAATCACAACACTGGAGCTCAGTGCCTGCTCTGGACAGGGACTTAGGGAGGTGCTCAGTTGGCTGGAGTCCATCACAGTCAAGTGATCTTTCATACGTTTGGTCCTTAAAAAGTGAAGCTGCTCTCTGAGGACTTAAAGTAATGGTTCCAAGCCTTTCGGCAAGAGATGCCAGTGACCTCAGTGGGCAGAGACTGTTGACGCAACATTTTCAAGAGGATGTAATGATGTGTTAACTGATGGACTCACTGGAAACGTGGCAAGTCACATGACAAGACCAACTGGAAAACGTTTTTGGTATCAAGGTGAACTGAGAAGGTGATTTATTGCTGATATCATGGAATGATGGGATGGTTGATTGGCCATTTTAACATTTGTAGAAGCAGAGCAGAGATTTCTGGCACAGCTTATTTCCATGATGCACAGAGAAGGGCAAAAAAATAATAAGAGGCCAAAACTTGAGCAATACTTTCATTATTCAGAACAACTTTATTGTTGGACCGCCTTCATCAGGGTCATCGTAACATTTTCTTCAATGAACACTAGTGTAGATCTGACCTGCTGCTATTTACACAGGTCACTGCTACTAATTGAATGGCAGATAAACATTAAAGTTCATGACTGACATCAGTGAGGTCATAGGACTTCACATAGGCGTCACATTATAACATCAGAGGAAAGTTCATGCAATGCAAAGTACGGATTGATCTCTGTCTGAAATAAAGTAACCTCTTGTATTTCAGATTTAACAACCTGGAAAGTGTGAAGAACAAATGTTAAAAGATTAATTACTGTCAAGGAATGCAGCAGAGTAGTAATGAGTTATTACCAGCAGGGGGCAAAAGGAGCATAGCTAATATTGAAACTGGTACTGGGTGTGTGCCTGTGTGGTGAGGATTTCATACAAAATGTATTGATATCAAGCCAAATGAGAAAATGCAAAGCAATAAAACCAACTAAAGAATTAAGCAGTGTTGTTATAATACCCTTATTATTTGAGTTCACAAGCAATGAATGATTCATACATCTTCTAATGTTGCCTCGCTTATAGTTAAGTCTGAAATATTTACAGTCCTCCTAAATTATTAATTTCATTCACTTAATCCCAACAATTAATTTCACCAAAGTAGAATTAAATACACTTTGATCTTTTTCCATCAACTCTGGTCTGACAGAAGTCGCATAAAGTCAATGATGCTGTTACTGTTGATAATGGTTCTGCTGTTAATAATGCAGTAACATTTCAAGGGCTGGACATATCTTTTAAAATGTTGTCTTCATGTTATTAGAAAATCGGTTTTTCATAGGAGCCAGAGAACATGACAGCAGCAGCGGCAGCTGAAGCCAATCATAAGCTGTTAAAGATTTGACAGAATTGACAAAATAATTATATCAAACTGTGCTTTTGTGTAGGTTTCCTGTTACACAGTTGTAATCTTAATTATACCCTTTTACAGCATTTGTGATCAGACAGGATGGGCTGTTTTAGTGAAGGGCACAACCAGCTAGCATAAATCGAAGGGTGACTGTATTATACCAGGATATAAAAACTACTAAGAATAGGGTTTTTTATAAAAGTCCTCCGGGCTACAGTTTGGTTTGCGGTTAGAGTGATATTTCGAGAGCGGAACCTAATCGGCAATCCCCTTTTTCCTAAAAGATTTATCTCCAGTTTAGTTGGTCCTCATAAGAAAGGGTTCTGACTGCTCTGTGAAGCCTGTGATCCCTGAGCGCTGGCGGAAGAGAAGGGCAGCAGGGGCTCAGGGAGGTTCCCTGGCAGGTCAAGGCCGGGCTGCGTGGGGTGAGTGAGCGACGAAGGGAGGCTGGCAGGCTGGTGGCTCATGGGAAGAGGCAAGGAGGCACTGTATGGAAGAGAACTGTGAGGAGCCAAAGAGGTGGAGCCCATTTGATTCAGAGTTACTTTGGGCTGCTCGGTTTGGAATGGATTGCTCACTGAAGGTGCACTCAGGCCTGGAGATAGAAAAATAAAACAGAAGAGTGTTCATTTAATTTAACCGGTTATTCAAAATAGATTTATCATTTCTGACACTTTGTTTTAGCTCACAGATGATGAAATCTAGATTTGCAGCTTTCAAAAGCACCAACTTTCCTTGTCTTTCACTGGTGAAACAAAAGAAGCTACTACAAATAATTACCTGATAAAAAGGGGTTCTTGGCTTGGGGATTTGATGGGATCAAGCTATCCAGGTTCACCAAGGATGCTGCTGTGGGGTCCAGGAAGGACTCAGGTGTCCGGCATGTGCGAGGGCTGGAGGCAGCCAGGCTTTCCCCAAGACGTGACAGGTCGAAGAGCTCAGGACTGCTCTCCCCTCGGCCGTTGACATTCAACTGACCCCCATCCATGGCCTCATCAAATAGATCTCCATCTAACGGCAGAAAAAAAGAAAGAGCTCTGAGAGAAGTGGGACACAGAATCACAGTAAGAGAATGCGCAAGAGGAAGCTTTGTTTACCTGAGGGGCTTCCAGTTCGGAGAAAGGCTCCATCAAGTGCCATTCCATCTGATGTGGCCGAAAATGGATCAACTCTCGAGGAGGCTATAAACGTAAGAAAATGCATTTTATTTTAATCATTCTGAAATACTTAATTTCATATATCTCCTATATGTATTGCATTGCACATTACAGACTCACCTGTGTTTGAAGGGGAGGCCCATGCACGGCCTGCCGCGGTGAGGTCGGAGACGTTTGGAGGGCCATCCCAGGGGTCAGTCGGGGGCTCCCATGGTGGGGGAGGGCTGCTGGAGGGTGGTGCCATCCACGGAGAACCTCCTCTCAAAGTGTTAGGCATGCCTTCTTTAGCAACAGAGAAGAAAAATATGAAGTTTGTTAGGACCTGAACATCTAGAGTTTATGTGCACTAAACTGTACTGTAAATTCAAAGCAGAAAAAGACTGATGCCAGAACTTCACCAGGCTACAAATATATATTTAATGACCATTATTTACTACTTGATATTTGGTCAACTCAAGGCTCACCCAGCGAGTCCCAGGGATCTGTGCCCCCCGGTCGGGCTGCTGCCGGCTGTGCAGCATTGTTCCGGCGATGGTCAGTAGAAGGCGGATCTGAGGGCACCGCGAAAACATCTACCAGGTCCATGAAGGCGGTCTGTCCCCATCAACAAGAAAACAAACCATTATATTGCTACAGCACTCACTATTAGTTCTGTTACCCTTAATGACTTATTTATAACTTAAATAAACAAATAGGTTTGACATTTTCACAGTAGGTAATTTCGAGGGTTGAGCTAATAAAACCTAATCAGAGCCAATAACTTCACCCACAATCATCATCATTATAAACCACCACAGTGGATTTTGTTGTGACCCTCGGGTTTGAAATCCCTTGTTCTCAAATGTATGGTTGTATTTCATCACCCCCATTGAGATATTCCATACCCCAATATTTCATACCCCGCCTTTAGTCTCCATCTGGCGTTTGCTCTCCTCCAAAGCTTTCTGGAGCATTGACTCATCTCCTTGGCGACTGAGTTGTTCCTGTCAACAGATACAGTCAGATGGTTGCCTTTGGGGACGGCTTCAAGCAAAATTCACATATTGTCACATCATATTCATGAGTCAGTGGCAGCACACAAGCACCAAAGCCAGATTTTTTTTTTTCTCTTTTCCTAGGCAACATATCACCCAGGGGTAGACCAGAAAATTCTCTGGTCAAAGAGAGGATAGCATCGCTGGGCTCTCTAACAGTGCGGCTCTATTGTGCTGCAGTGTACTGACACAGACAGGGAGAGAAAACAGCAGAGCGGCCAGACAAGGGAGTGAGGCGGGAGGAGAGGGAGTTGAGGTACAATGGTTGTCCAGTATAATAGAACTATATAATAAAAGGCATAGTAAAGGACACAGGCGGGAATACGTTAAACAATGATATGGAAGAGAAATGCAAAGATGTAAAAGCAAACAAGCATTAAAAGATCAGTATGGGTGAGGTGGGAACACCCTACTCTTTCATAGAAATGATGTCATGGTGACTAACATTCGAGATGAAGCAATTCAAGGGATTCCAACCAAATTTAAAACTGGGATCGGAATGTGCTTAATCTAGAAGTCACCTGGTACTCATCATAAATCTGAGCTGTGTCTATCTGCACTTGTAATTTGAAGTTCACTAGAAAATATTAACATCGGTTAAGCTTTCAAACAGTTTCTGCAAAGTCATTTTCAGGCCTGAACTCGTCTGAACTTTCTCGGTCAGACAACAGGAAAATGTCCAGAACATTCAGGTGAGAGGCGGCATCTGAGTGGCACAAAGAGGTGGCAGGACATGACGTATAAACTCCGGTGTGGAACTCATGTTTATTGGTTTATAGTACATTGACAACAGCATCAGCCTTTATCACCAAAAGCTCTAGAATCTTGTTGTCTTTGCAGGTTGAAATCTTGGTAGGCACCCCTTTTTAATCTTGAGATATTTGTATTCTTCCAGTTTTACGTCAGTCATGTGTTAGAAACATCACCGGCTCACGCTTTTCTAGACATTTTCCTACTGTAAGCTTGTATGAGCTTACTCAGACATTTTCTGGACATTTTACTTGGGGACTGGAGAAACTGACTCAGACATTTGTGTTCTTACATACAGAATCTCCACAAAATGTCAGGAAAAGTTGTGCATGTCTGATGCAGCTCTAGCTTCCGTGGTGATACAAGGCAGATACAAGGCAGTTGACCCCATGCAACCCTTACCTGCTGGTGCTCCTCCTTGCTTAGGCTCAGGGCCAATTCCAGCTGGGCATCCTCATCCATATCCACGGTGGGAGGTGCACGTTGGACAGGCTGTGCTCGTGGGAGAGAGAATATGGTCAACAATAATGGAATCCATTCTTGGACATCCTCACAGTGCATTGCATGCAGTTCTACGGGTGTCCCACGTTGAGTTAAGGGGTCAAACCCTATATTCCCTTCCGTGACACCACACCAGAATAGTTCAGAGTGGCTGAGATGGATATCTACTGAATCAAGAGGAGAGATCTTAGGGTTAATGGAACAGAAGGATGAAGCCACAGTTGATTAGTCTCTGTCCTTTTACTGTTTAAAAGTGAGTGAGGAAGGATGAGTCAAATCTAGAAAGGAGACAAAGTGAGTACCACATGCAGTTGTTTTCCAGAAGGACAAAAAACACAATGGTTTTAGTGCACAGAGCAACACTACATGATGCAGAGGAAGAATCATCCCTTTTCCAAGTGTACTTATACCTTCTTTGAGTCCTCCTTGCTGAGACTCATAGCGAGCTGGAGCTGGGTGTGTTCATCTATGTCCACAGGGGGAGTGGGCTAGGGTCAAGCAGGAAGGATTAGGAGGAGGACGAATCACAAGGAAAGCTAAAATCATGCTTAACTTTGTTGGAATCATTCATTGAGAAATGATTATGTGAACACAATGATTAAAGGTGATTCAAAAGAGAGGAATATAACAGAGATCTAATATATGATCAATTAAATCATCAAAATCACAGCTAATTTGTTGAAGCTGACAGCTTTACACATAAACTGTATTTCCATAGTAGCCAAGAAAACTCAGAGGGCGAAGGCTGCCCTTGCCACGGTGACCGAGGTGAGTGTGGCCTCCTGGGAAAGGATCAATGCACACATCCTGCCTGGCTTCTCTCTGTTTCACTCACAGTGTCCTCAGTCTTCAGCTGTGCTCATGCTGATTGGTCAAAGTGCTATTATTGACCACATCAGAGACAGTTGATGATATCACTTTCTGCGAAAGGCTCTGGGAAATGGTGGACGAGTTGAGGCTGTGGGAGTGCTCCGCCACCGCGACTGACAGCGTCCAAGCATGTGGGTGTAGTGTGTGTGTGGGAGCTCTTGACTGTTTTACGGCAGAATTACATGTCGGCAGCTGGGCAGTTAAGAAGCCTCTTTCTGCCAGGCTCATGTGCTGAAAGGACAAGAGGTTTGTGTTTGTGTGTGTGTGTGTGTGTGTGTGTGTGTGTGTGTGTGTGTGTGTNTGTGTGTGTGTGTGTGTGTGTGTGTGTGTGTGTGTGTGTGTGTGTGTGTGTGTGTGTGTGTGTTTGTGTGTGCGCTATCTCATTTAGAGGTACCTTTTCACTTTCTTCTCGGCTCATAGCCAGGGCCAGCTGCAGCTGCAGCTCCTCTTCCCCACTGGTCACGGGCCGAGCTTGCTCCATGTCTGGAGCAAGTTGAGGAGAGGAAGATGAAGCTACAGAGACAGAGGAAGAGCCAAGGGGATCAGGTATTTACAGAGAACATGGAAAGCAAAGAATGAAACACAGGCTGATTTTTTGTCAAAAAAAGGCTGGCACTGTTGTTGAATGTTGTTTTTTTTCCATTGCCCGTTGTTAAGGGCCTTTGCTGGCATTGCTTGCCACGGTCTGCCTAACTCTGCCTGCACTGAGAACAATGGTGTGCCTGTGTGGAGCGTTAGGGTGATGAAGGGGGAGAGGAATGGATGGGCTGGAGTGGGGCCCACCTTATTACCCTGTATCCTCTGGGTGGGATCCAGGATTCAGGTCCAGGTTTGGGGAGGGGGTGGGTGCTGGCTTGGCCCGTCTGCCGGGCTGTGGGTCTGTGGGTCATGGGGCTAAAACAGTGCAGCAGGCAACACATTTGCAAAGACCAGTCTCAGAAACCCATCATTTCCACTTTACTGCCCTTCAATATCTGAGCCGGAAAGCTTGCTGTCAATTAGCTGCTGCCAACCTCCTGACCCACACCCATGCCATCCATCAGCACCAACACTTCAACCCAGCGCCGGTGTCCAGGGATCTCCAACAGACAACCACTGTTCTCTATTTGCGCCTTTAGAATCTCCCGGAGCCGAACGAGAAGCTGTGCTACTGTGCAGCGTTGGACAAACTGCATTTACTCAGGCTGAAGACAAACACGCATACACATAAGGAACACAAACACACACGTGTGCTCACTAACTCACCTTTCAAGTATTTGAACACCTGCAGTATATCTCATACATATTTACGCTTTGTTATCTAGGCCCAAATCATTTTTATTTGGCTAAAGACCAAGTGATTAGCTACTATCGCTGGTGTGTGAAATTGTTATGATTGACCAGCATGAAAGCCAGCCTCTGTCTGACAGACTGTGGCTTTAAACTTAGCTTCTTGTTGTGTTATCAGATGTAATCATTTTTCTGTGTATTACAAACCACGTTTGTATTTTAGCACTGTTGAAAGAGAGCTTGGAGGTTGTAAAGGTCCACGTTTCCACAAAAAATAAAGAAAATGCATGAAATGGAAATGAATCTTTGAGAGGGGACTATTGAGGGATTGGTGGTAGCAAAACAGTCAGATAGCATCTGTGGGCATAACTTTGTTTACACCATGAGACAGGCCAAAGACATCAAAGTATAGAAGAATAACTGTTGCCTTCAGGAAACCGCAGCCCTGCTCCTCACTAACATCTTCTAATGAACATCCTTCACCACTTGGACCGCACATATGTCAAAATACTGTATATGGTACACGCCACACAAGCACCACATCTACAAACACCTGTATACAGCTGTTTATCATCACTGTTTTTAAGTTGGAACCATATACTTTGGTTAAAAAGTTAATCCGGCGACCTAACCCAGACACACATAGATCACCTATAATATCATAACCTAACCATGATCATCAGAGTGACACAGCAGATAGCATCACCGCAAGATGGAAATTAGTACAAAACAGGGGCCTCCTCTTTTGTAAATCCAGTTTAGCTGACGTGACTCTAAACGGGAGAATGAGAGGAATGCAGATTTCCAAACGACTGTAAAAAGCAAAACTACTTTCTATTAAATCAAAGGACTTGAGATTGATAGTTAAAGGCTTGAATTGTTGGTATTAAAACTGGCATCTACGTCAGTGAGAAATCGCATTATCTATGTACAATAACTGGACAGATAAGAAATATGCATTTAATGACAAAGTAATAAAATAACCTCATGACCCTTCAACCATGTGAGTTCCTGAATGATCACCAGTCACATGCCACAAGAAGAATTCCAGGTAGCTGTGAGCTTAGAGTTATGTGCTTGTGATATGTCGCAGTGAGACATCCCTTCTACTCACAGTTAAAGGACGATGGTGAGCCCCTGCACCTCTGGAAATCATCCCCGTAGACCGCCGATGAGCCACCCTGGCTACTGCGGTGTCCTGGGTATGGAGGCGGCAAGGATCCAGAACCTAAACTACTGGTGACCCCTGCTATGCGCGTCTTGGTCTTCAGCGCCTGGCTCCTTTCCTTCTTCAGCTTCTCCTCATCCCTCAGTAGAGCCACCAGTTGCTTGGCCTTCTCCCGGACGTTGATGCCCTGGTCGCGTCCGTCCCGGTCAATGTACTGGAAGTCTCTCAGAGTGTGGATGGTGTATATGTTCTCACGGCACTCCGTGGCCACTCGCTCCGAGCCTGTTTTAATCAGGTAGTCCAGCAGGGTCAGTGCCTTATAAACGTGGCGCCAGTTTTTACCATGGTCATTAAGCCGCCTCCAGATCATACCCATGACCTCAGTGAAGGCCACCACATTGAAGGTCAGGTCTGCAATTTCAGACATGAGCGAGCTGGGAGCTCCCCAGTGGTCGTTGGAGGTGGCCTCTCGGACCTTGATCTCAGCCTCCGTGTAGTTGTTGACCATGTTTTTCATCTGCCGGCGGAGCGATGAGGTCTGCATGGCGGCGTCGGTGGGTTTTCTTTTTTCACAGGTGGAAAAAGTCTGAAAGGTCTGACAGCAGGCCAACCTGCTGTGTCACCTCAGGCAAGGTTAGAGACTAGGTCAGCGGAAAAATGCAGTGAAGTTGTCCGCCTCTCGGCAACTTCAGAGACGTCCACCAGAGTGTTCCTGCTGGACAGGAGCGCACAAATTAGACAAATTAGAGAAAGATTTGAAGCTGAACAGGTTTTATTATTCTCATGTAAAACATTAGCTGAGGGAACTTTGCCATTACTAATGACAATGACTTATTCCTTTCACTATAGTTGTGTTTGGGAGGAGAGAGTAACAGCTCAGCACCTCCAAGCGATGTGAAACACAACACCTGAGTTTCGTTTTTTTCACTGACACAACTTGAAGAGATGTGAGCACATACACTCTAAGTAAACAATGACCCGCCTCTCAGCTATTTGTGCATACAAATTCAATACTTCTTACCTGAAAGACAAATTTTACTTTCAGATCAAGACACTACAGTCCGACCTGCAAGTGAAGACGTTTTTGTGTGTTTTACCTCAGAGTGAAATCAGAGATGGGAGGGGCATTTCTGACCTGATAACATCACTACGAACAGCACTGGAGCTCAAAAAGCATTTTAAGACTCACAAAACTCTAAGAGCCGAACCTCTACAGACACACACATGAGAACCGCCATCACTTCTGTGTTTTTTCACTTGACTTCAATAATTGAAGATAATTACCGTATATGTGACCTTCGAGCACCAATCGTTTTGCCTGAGATACTGAACTTTGCCCTGTGTAGTCAGGGAAGTGACTCAGTTCAATCAACAACTTTTCACTCCCACATGTGAGATGTATGAACTTTGGCCCATTCACTTGTTAAATTACGAAGAGAGAGATGTGCATATTGATCCCTGGAGTCAGTGAAATGTTAAATGTCTTTATAATGAGAAAAAGATTCCTCCAGGTTGTACTATAAATACAAAATAGTGAAATATCTAACCCATTATGATTGGGTGAGCTTCCTGTGCTGTGACAGGGGCCATAAATAGATCATGAAGTGGTGGCCTGGGTCTGAATATTTGTGGCTCAGCTAACCACGGACCCAGTTCACCATTTAGTCCCATTATCTCCTGCTGGTTTCCTGACTCCTGACTGGGATGGCTGTTACTCAGGTGGAGATGGTGGGAGGAAGAAAGACATATATGCTTGTTGGTAACAGGCTAATAAAAGTTGGGAGAGGAGGGGGTTTCATTGACAGGGAGAGCAGGGGAGGTGGAACAGGATGATCACAGAGTTTGTGTGGAAATTAAATTCTGCCTCTGGACAGATTTCTGATCAATGTGTAAATCATCACTGTGGCAGCAACATATGATGATGATGGTTAGAATTGGTTTGGAAAGTCTGACAGATGGTGAAGAATGGATACTCACTGGATCTTTCCTGACAATGTAAGAACTTCTCATACAGTTGTGACCTTGACATGAAGATACATTTCATAAAATATACTTTTTATACGTCCTTTGATTTGTACAATATGTTCTTACTTTCTTGTGCGTAAAAAAGCGATGATAGTTAATTTTCCCCCTCAACAGTCTTTCTCTCTGTCTACAGGAAGCGAAGTGAAAACTGCTCCCAGATCAGGCCTACATGCTCGGCCAGGTACGTTCACATTTGCCGTACAGATGTGCCAATGAAGTCCAGATTCAACATACATTTCTCTGACGCGTCCTCATTGTGCCATGATGGCACGGCCCGGCCCATTATCGTGCACGTTGCGTCAAATGGGATGATCGGGTGGGTGAAGCGTGTGCGTGTGACCGTGACTCAGCTACCTTTCTGACTTTAAAAGTTGAAACCTACACAAAAAACAACGACGACCCGGTTCTCTGCCTCCACTTCCCCGTCTCTTACCTTCATGTCATTGCGCGTCAGCGGGATCACAACTCGGGGAGGCTTCGGGTGGAACAAGAGACGCCTCTCGACATGTCCCGGAGCTTTTCGGACAGAGCGGAGACGAACAAGACGTTTAGATTCCAGGAGAGAGAGAGAAACATCCGTGGAGAACCGTAGGTTCTCAGATTGAATCCTAAAAACTCAAAAGAATCGAGGCGGTGCCCTGGTTTGTTATCAAACTAAAGTTGTGTGTGCATATCACAAATCCAGGCGCTGGGGCTTGCAGATGGCACAGCCCCCCGCCCCCGAAAACTCACACACAGTAAAAATGGATGGAGAGGGAAGGGAGGGAGGGAGGGAGGGCAGCCTGCTCGGTGCATGCAGAGTCAGACTTAACTCTTTCACTTCCTGGTGCAAAAGCGTCTGTGTTGACTGGGAGCAGGTGATCACCGAATAACAGGAACTAAACATGACGCACCATGAGGTGATTGCAGAGACACTTGCTGTCCTGAACATAAACCTGCTTATTCACCGAAGAGGAACTGTGTCCTTGCAGGTGTTATGAGATCTAAATATTACAGAATCTACACACAAGTGCAAGTTTTGTACTGGGAAGCAAAACTAAATAGCAAGAAAATATAATGACATAACACTATTTCCTATAAATCCTATGCTGTCCCAGGGGGGTTCCACAAAGAGCCACATTTCCTGCAGCAGCTTCATTGCATTTCTGCTCTTTACTTATTCATCAGCACTAATGGCTTGTTGTCTGAAGTCATATCCTTATGCATTTACACGTGGCCTGTGTCTCCACTGTATCGATGGCTCCCATCCAGTGCTTCATCTTTATATACATGTCTATGATCTGGTGCTTGTGTCAGGGTAACCTCCAGTCTCAGGTTTGTAGAGTATACAGAGGGGTCATATCATATCTGCAATGTGGAGTGAGTAATGATTAGCCAGTTTAGGGAGAAGCAGCAGGAGAGACGAGTGGCTCGGTCGACTGAGCAGGATATACAGGAAATACCAGCTCCACCTTGAGAGAACAAAAGCAGAGACTCTTGGAGTACAGAAGGGTAAAGTGTACGAACAAAAAAGTTCACCACGCTGAGGTGAAACTAGGTCTTAGAGGATTTCTATATGTCTGATAAAAGGGTAAAAAGTTGGAACAAGTTGCTAAAGTGCTTTCCTGGGTGTATATTTGCTCCCTGTGTCAGTTTCTAATATGTCTCTCGCTGATCAGATTGTTGGAGCTCCACTTCATATAGCTCCCATGGCCCTCCTCCTCCTCTATGTCCTGCCACCCTGTGTCTTTATTTCTCCTGAAAACAGATGCCTAAGCACTCTTTGTTTCCCAACAAAGGCCTGGCGAGGTCAGTGCAGGGGGAGTCATGCAGGCATGGTCCGGGAAAACAGAGGGGGAGGTGAGAGGACTGATAAATAACACCAGCCTATACTGGTGCACAGCAGCGACATCTTGCAGCAGAGGAAGTCTGACTTCTTGTGTGTGTGTGTGTGTGTGTGTGTGTGTGTGTGTGTGTGTGTGTGTGTGTGTGTGTGTGTGTGTGTGTGTGTGTGTGTGTGTGTGTGTGNGTGTGTGTGTGTGTGTGTGTGTGTGTGTGTGCTTGAAACCTTTTTATTCCTTGAGTTCCTGTGCACTCAAGGATTTTGGCTCTGAAACGTCATCATCCTGTTTGGAATTTTCTTTTCCTCTTTGCTGCCATCTAGTGGTGTTTCAGTAGGTCGACCTCTATTCTGGCTGTTTCCCTGACATGAACCTGTTCATTCAAACTTTAAACGCTTTAATATAAATGTAAAAAATAACGTAATTTATTTCAAAATCAGATCAGTCCCTGTAATGTTGTATCTGGTAATGATGGCTTTATCTCCTGACAGGCGTGTTGTGAATAGGCCTCTTGAAACATTTGACTCATGTGCTTATGTCTTCTTCGTTTCGATAGTTGCATCAAAGATAGTAACTGAGAGGCACCAGTCCAGTATGATGTTGAAGTTCAGCGACTCACACTTTTTTTTGGCTGTTCATAAAAGCTCAAGATCTTTAGGACCCCGGAAAAGCAAGTATAGTGTCAGTGTTAAGTATAAAATATTAGTATTGGTTTTAAATGTTGCTGAGTATTCATGTAGTACAAATATGTCCTAACAGAGATGATAATATAAAGCACAATCACCCATACCCATCTTAAAATGACTGTGGATGGAGTAATTTACTTTATAAGAAAGCAGCTATACCCTTGGGCTCCAAGAGGCCACAAATCATTTATGACTTAACACAAATCTCATTTCAGAAAGTATTTCAAAAGCCAGATTACGTGTTAAAACTGAAAATATCATTGCTTTATACGCAAGACAGATCCCTCTTCTATAAATAAATCATCATACATTCTATGGCCACTGTTACATTTCCGATTATATGTCATGGTTTTGTTGAAATGAGATTGCACTCTCCATGGCAATCTGCCTGTCCTTTCTCTGCGACTGCATATCCAACCCATTCTTCAGGTTTCCAAGAAGGAGCTTGTGTGTGGGCTGTCCCTTCAGTGTCCTTGGTTTGTGAAAAGGATGCTTTGATGGAGAATATTGTGTTTAGTATGTTCGGGTTACAGCAATGAATTGTTAGTGTGCAGCTCATTCATTTTAAATCAGGCAAGGTATCATGTGTCCTTCATCCTGTTTTTCGAGACCCCATAATCATACACTTCTGGAGTTAAGTGTATATCTGTTGATTCAAATAAAACCATTTGTGTTCCCGTCAACAAAAATAAACTAATCACTTATGTCCTTAGGATGATGCTCATATTGAATGTCTTCATCCAGTGGGAACATTCGCTGATGGTGCTGCTGAGGACTCATCTTTGTGAATCACAGAGCAGAGTGAGAATGTGTCAAATCTGAAGTCGTGATCAGTGCAGAAACCATTAGGGATCGTTTTCAAGTAGTGCTCATGTCAGTCTCATGAACTACAATATCCTGAAAGCACAGCTTGTGTCACTGGGGGTATGAGTGGTTTCTGATTTGAAAACACTGTGTGACGGTTACATAAATATAAAAAAATAAATAGAAGAAACAGTAAAAAGGAATACCAAATAACTGCTGTCACTGTGACAGAATCCTCACAGAGGACTATGAATACAATTAGTTTGTGCTGGTGTCCATGGCTACAGTGATTTGGGCAATTATCTGAATACTCTGTCCACCAGTGAATTCATCCATTTATCCATGAATGAGACAAAAAAACACCTGCAATAGGCACTAAAAATAGACTTAATTAGGTGGGGACAGATCAGATTGCATTTTTTACAAGGGCTTTTCTCAGGACATCATGTCCAAAAGCATATTTTAGCTCAGATTCTGGATCATTTGGATAATTTTATGTAGCATATTAAGTGGACATTATCTGGTATCTTTAAAGGAAACGTACAAGAGCTTAAAGTGGAGATCATTTCTGATTTGTTTTTCGAGAGCCTCTTTATGCTTCTATAAAAGGAGTGCGCTCTGGATGAGGCTCTATGACGCAGGAGCTGGTGCTCGGTGTGGGTGTATAAGAGAGGGCACTGCGCTCTGTCTCAGCGCATACATGGAGAAGCAACTGGGTTGGTGAGATTTTGACATCCTCCGGTTTCCTGGAGACGCTCGAAGAGAACATAAAGAGATGAACACAACTGAGAAGTTTTACCTTCCCGTTGATGGCATCCTCGAAATGTTCAGCTCTCTCACCGGGCATCACCAGTCACAGTGCAGCATTCACTCCAGTACTCCAGCATCCTAAAGTCTCAAACATATCCAAGACAGGTATGCGCATCGTCAAGACGATGAAAGGGCATTGGAGACAACAGGATGTAGCTGTGAGTAGATCCTCAAGCTCTGGCAACGAACAAGTGTCGCCGGATCGAATCCCCAAAAGGTCCATGGATCTGTTGGAGCTGGGTCTGACCAAGCCCAGGAACTGTTGCAGAATAGTTGTGCTTGGCTCACCCGGAGTAGGTAAAACCAACATCCTCCAGCGGTTCCTGGGGAAAGACTTTGTGGAGCAATATGAACCCACGACCGAGGACTTCCACAGAAAGCTGTTCCACATTGGAGGAGAGGCGTACCAGGTTGATCTGCTGGACGCGTCAAGTGAGAGGGGCTTTCCTGCCAAACGGAGGTTATCCATACTAACAGGTAGGCCAGTAACAATCATTAAATTTGTTTTGTATTGTTTTCAGTAGGTTATTATGTCTAATGGAAGCGGTGATTGTTTAATTCAATTCGACAATTTCACTTGAAATAACTTGTGCGCTCTTCCTCTCCAGGTGACATCTTTCTGCTCGTCTTCAGTTTGGATGACAAAGACTCTTTCGGTGAAGTCTGTGAGCTGCTGAGCGAAATCAAAGCTGCTAAGGCAAAGTTGCTGAAATTAAAAAATCCTGCGAGAGTGCCAGCAGTTCTGTGCGGGAATAAAGCGGACTTGGAGGCGCAGAGAGCCGTGAGCAGCTCGGAGGTGGCACGAATCCTCGGTGAGGAGATGCCACTCTTCGAGACATCGGCCAAAGACGGCACGGGACTGGAGCGCATGTTCAGAGCCCTCGCCACCTTGGGCGGACTCCCCGACGAGACCGCTCCGTCACGGCATCAGACCGTATCCATCCTCACCTACCAGTCGCTGTGTCTCGGCCACCAGCTGGGCCAGGGAGGGAGGCGAACGCGGGGAATCGGTGCGCCTTGCGCCGCCGTGGACCCTCTGGCGCGCCGGCCGAGCTTCACCAGCGACCTGAGGCTGGTGCTTGGATCAAGCACCAAACACAACAAACCAGAGAAATGCCAGATTCAATGAATTGTGAGCCTTCTCGAAAAACCAATTGTAGTAGTATGCTGCAATGTCATATCATGTAAGGAGTTATACTCTTAAAGCACTTGGCTGGACCTGTGCGTTCATATTTTGTTATTCTAGCCTATAGACAAATGATAACTGTATCATAATATCCTGTAATAAAATGCATATGCATTATTTCTAATGGATGTGTATTGTCGTCCTCTGTTCAACCACTTTATTTCATTCTGTCCATTCCTGAATCAGCTGATGGAGACAGGCATCAGATTATGGTCACAAACGTGCAGAAAATCCATCGAGTGATGACGTAAAACTGCTCAGCTGACCATTTTCCTACGTGTGTGGGAGACAGATGACTCAAACACAAAAATCTTGAAACGTCTCATTGTATATGATAGAATAGAGAGGTTGTTCACATTTCAGGGTGCCCACAAGGTTGTGAATGGCATCAAGGACCGAGGTGTGACAATGCCTGCTAATCAGTGGACTCACGCTCATGCATCACCATGGTATTTGGAGGAAACAAAGTAATGGGAGCATGGTTTATTACGGAAGGAGGGAGGTGGGCGAGAGGAGAGAGACAAATCAGCACCATGGAGAGAGCCCACAGATTATTGAGCTCTCACTACACTGATCTGCCTCTGAGCACAAACTCAACACGTCCTATTAATAACACAGGAAACACACTGATGTAGTGATGGTATAGGCAACATTAACCTATAATTAAATGGGTCGCTTCAACCAAGGCAGGAAGCTAAGGTGCACAATGTTGTCATGTTATCAGGTGTAGTGAAAATAAGCATGTCTATAGTTATATGAAATAACGCTGACACAAACTCATGAGCAGATTAAATGAAATGATCACTTTAAATAAAAGCAGCATCAAATAGCGCTGAAATGCTGATGATCATTTCTGTCTTGGCAACGAAATCCCTACCACCATTTATTTTCAAGTCAAAATATGTTAAGTTGCAACTGATTTCCAAAGACTGACTGAACTTTTGAGATTATTTCACTTTTATTCATATAGTTAAAAAGCAGCAATTGATTTCTGGAGAATATTATATCAAAAATCTACTCATTCTAAACCAATTTCTGAAACCTGAAACTCAATTTGTTCTAAATTCGTATTTTTCACATGTTGCATTGTGTGCATGCTCATTTATTGACTAAAAGACTCGACTGAAGTTTGTTTTCTCTATTATTTTTGTTTCATCACACAGATGGAAAATTACAGGTTTTTTATTCGGTGACTAGACAGCACGCACAAACCTCCTCCAAGGCTGATGCCCTATCTCATCAGATTAAAGTCAGTGACTAGTTATTCATAACTGCTTAAATGTAATTGGTTTCTTCCTTGGGTCATAAACGTTAATGAAAATAATTTTTTGTGTATTCCTGCTGATGTACAAACAAATTGCAATGATTAACACCTTGGGGGGGGGGGGACCTATTAAATAAGGCACACGCTTTTTCCTCAAGTTTACCTGCACGATTAATGAATATACTGATGTTACAAAATAGAATTGGAGTCCTTTTCCATTTTCTGATGATATACAGATGTAAAAAAGTAGGCCATTAATATATGACCTGAAAAGTGTGCTGGTAACAATATTATAGGTGATAAGCCCATGCACTATTGCGTATGGTAATGTGAATCAAGGCTGAGTTTATAATAAATGCTCTGTCCTCATGAAATATGGAAATAAATATGGATGAAATATGGAAAGATGTGGCCTTTGATCCATATATTCAGCAGATGTATTTACAAAGAGCATTGTCAATACAGACATACAATGAAGAATGAACAGGCATTCATAACAATGTCTTATGCACCACAACAAGGGCTGCAAACAATGACCAGAAATTATATAAAGATTCTCATTTTCATATTAGTCAATATTGAGTACAGGTTGTGGTTTTAAACCCTTTTTTTATTTAATGACAAACACATTTTACATATCTGAGGTAGATCAATAGTGCAGTATGTATACCTCCTCTCTGACCTTGAACAATGCGTGTGTATATTAAAATATATTCTACCATTGCTATATATTAATGAAAGTCATATTGTAATAATTATTGATATTGTTTTATTGCCCAGCAGTAACCACAAGATAAATAGTTATGTTTAGATCATCTGCTCCATTAACATTACTGTCATTGTGGGTTGGATGTCTTCAGTGTTTGTCCATCAGCACTTGTGGCCCCTGGAGGATTTGTGTTTGTAGCTCAACCAGTAGAGATGGCAGTATGCTGTCCAGTAAGGCCAGTCCGTCCCAGGAGCAGCGCAGGCCTCTGATGAGAAATGGAAAGAAAAGTGTATTCAGCAGCTATTTTAATAAGCAATTAATAATTTGAGTTATTTCTCAAGAAAAATCTCCCAAAATTCTTGGTTCCAGCTTTTTAAATGTGATCCAATTTCTCTCTAACTGAATATTTTTGAATTTAGAAGAAAAAATAGCT